TGTAATGGAGCAGTTCGTGTGTTGTGTCTGACTACTTTTGTGCTCTTTGAACATGGAGAGATGAATGCAAAATTGCGAGTATATTTCATGTTCCACTATAGCAGAAATATTTGAATTAGTATTGGCTATGTTTACAAATACAGAACAATAAGAGTAGAAACTGGAAAAGAGCCATCGAGACGGTTAAAATATTATTTTCAATCACAAATCATAGTTAATAATCCAGCCGCTCAAGCGGTTGAAGTAGCTGGATTGCATGTAACTTGTAATAGAGATGATGACTAAATGTTTTTTTTCGTCTGTCAAGTATTGAAAATTATTTAAGATTTTTTCTTCTCAACTTTAATGCCCATTGTTGAAGTCGTTCCTTGTTAACCTACGTTAAATAATACGTAAGTGATTAATATTTTTCTTTCATTCGACTGATGGACTATATTATATATACAACTTTTTTCGTACGTTGGCATCAATCTTATTATGAAGGTAAGTTTATTTGGTGTTCTTGCAATTTAGAATACACTTTTTGTCCCGATAATAATAAAAAAGTATAATCAGTATTGTTGTCTCTAAACTTAATGATCTTTGTGGGAGATTGGTGTCTATAATAAGCTTAGCCTGAATTAATAACTCACGCACGAAAATATCTCTTATTTTAAATGTAAATAAACTTTAGGTATTACAAAACCGTTATTGTTCATCTTACGGTAATTTAACTTATTTCATCTTTTACATTAAGTTAACATAATTACTGTAATACAATGCATTTAATCTATAGCATAAGTTATATTAAAAGTAATACTCCTCTGTAGCATTTTCGTTATCATTCAATAATTTTGTATCTGAATAGTTCTGTGTTCTCAAAATAATGCGGTGACACACATGCCCCAAGTTAGTTGCATAAATGGTTCCGAGGAAACGTTAACACGCTCATATCGTCTGTCAAGTAACTAGTTTGTGTCTCGGACGGTCATTTAAGTGCGGTGTGCTCCGGCGTAGTACTTAACCTAATATTCGATAATTGCGTTAGCCGGCAGCAACAATAATTAGCCTCCCTGAGTTGGTCAGCCTGACATCGTCCCGTTGATACGTGCTTTGTGGTCTGGAAATCTATATATTGACATCTATGAAATGTTTGTTCACTTCATATTGATTTCCAAGGAATTATTTCACAGGTTTCAGTTCCAGTTAGAGTAGTATTAATCGACACTTACAAAAGCATATTACCTACTAGGTAGTCAAGCATACGAAGATTTACTATATATAATTTTAATCGAATTCTTAGTTTTCCGCTGTATACACGAAAATCATTTATGGGTATTATGCAATGAGAGTAGGTAAGATACAGTAATTATTGACTTAGTCTACTGAATATATATTCAAATACAGGAAAAACTTTAAAGCAGTCCGCAAAATTTTAAATTGGGTTGTTTACAATGAATCGTTAATATTAAAATTATAAAAGATGTACAGTATTCGGAGCTCAACAATGTTTTTTTATCAAAATGAAGTGTTAATAAATATTAAAATAAAAATTAAATTTTCAAATTCAATACATAGACATTTTTTTTGCACTGATATATCGTCATTGAAAAGATATGACTATTTCTGTGACCGAGTGGCTCACGTCTGTTTCAATGTGTCGCTGTCTAAGGTCTCGGGTACAATTTGCAGTTTGGTCAATACAGAAAGCGTACTTTTATATATTGTCTCTGCCCTTGGTGTCGTGACAGGTTTCGTTGTTTCCGCTTTCCATATAGCTTTTATAATTAATTTTGGCATAAAAGTATTTCGAATAGTACCCTTAAATGAGCCCAATGGCGCAGTGGTCAGTGCGCTCAGTCTGAGATGTGGTTGTTTAGCAACTTTCGCAATCGAAAGTTAAGATGGGTGTTCCGCAGGGCTCAATACTTGGTCCTTTCTTGTTTTTAATTTACATAAATGACTTGCCTTATTTCGTAAGGGATGATCACGAAATAGTTTTGTTTGCGGATGACATTTCACTTTTGTTTAAAATTAAAAGAGGGCTACCTCTAAATGACGATGTAAACAATTCTATCGCTAAAGTAGTACATTGGTTTAATGTAAATAATGGTCTTCTTAATGAAGGAAAAACAAAATGCCTAAAATTTGAACTATCTAATGTTGAAAATGTAGATATAAATGTTAATATAAAAGATAAGAACATAGGCCTTGTGGATACTACAGTATTTTTGGCCCCACTGTAGTTTAGAATCTAATAACATTAGTTAGTTTAGAATCTAATAACATTAGATTCTAAACTACAGTGGTGCCCACATATTGATAAATTGTCGAGTAGACTAAGCTCTGCAGCATATGCCGTAATGAAGATACGTAGGTTAACTGACATAGACACTGCCAGATTAGTATACTTCAGTTACTTTCATAGTGTGATGTCGTACGGAATCCTATTGTGGGGAAATGCTGCCGACATACAAACGATTTTTGTTCTTAAGAAAAGAGCAATTGTTGTAACTTGTTTTCTATTGTCAAGATAACTTCTTATTATTTCAAGTTCTCTTCCATCGAATCCATAATAATTCAACTTAAGCAGCAAAATATTATGCCTTAAACTATCAAAAGCTTTGGACAGATCGCAAAAAATGCTTGAGCATTTTTGAGATTCATCCATTGCACCTAAGATGAAGTATATTACTTTACGAATCGCCATTTCAGTAGAACGTCCCTTACGAAAACCAAACTGCACATCCGACAAGAGTTCATTTGATTCAATGAATTCCATCATTCTGTCTTTTATAGCTGTCTCTAATATTTTTGAGAGCACTGGCAATAAACATATTGGCCTGTTATTTCCTGTTAATTTTGTATCACCTTTTTTATGGAGAGGATCAATTTTACCTATCTTCAAAGCTTCTGGAAATATATCCTGATCAAGACAGCTATTAAAAACTATTAAAATAAGATTTAGAAAATACTCATTTGTCAGGATAAGCTGTTTTATTGTCTTACAATCCATGTCGTAGATATCTCGCGATTGTTTATTTTTAAGACTTTTAACAAATTTCTCAAGTTATTGGCGTAAAAGTAATGTTGTGGCAAGGTTTTTTTGAATTGCATATGTATTGTGTGCATTTTTTTCTATCAACCTTAATATCTTTCGTTAGCTGATCTGCAATATTTAAAAAAAAGAAGTTAAACTCATTTGCCACGTTCTTATTATCGTTTACCAAGTTACCACTGGCATCTATAATAGAATTTAATGAAACACTATGTCTGCGTTTTTTGTTCAATTGCTCATTTATTATTTTCCATGATTCTTTGACTTTATTTCTAGATTTCTCAATTCTATTTACAAATGTCAATTTTTTTGCTGTTACTAAAACGTTCGTAAAAATATTGGATTGTTTTCTTCTCTTGTAACTAATTTTCTAATTTAATTTTAAACGTTCGTAAAAATATTGGTTTGTTTTCTTCTCTTGTAACTAAGAGCAATTAGATCAATTTATAATCTTAGGATTAGGAACACTTTGAGGGAGAAATTTAAGGAAATAGGCATAATGACTGTTGCTTCTCAATACATATACGAGAACTTAATGTACGTTCGTAAAAATATTGGTTTGTTTTCTATAAAAATTGATGTACACAATATTAATACAAGAAATAAAAATAAATTAACGGTGCCTGTCACTAGACTACAAAAAGTTAATAACTCATTCAGGGGTCTTTGTGTGCGCTTCTACAATAAGTTCCCAAGCAAAATACAAAAATTAGATATCATGCAGTCTAAATCTACTATTAAAATAATACTTATTAGAAAAGCTTACTATAAGGTATCCGATTATATAACAGATAAGAATGCTTGGACTTGAGATGATCCAGCAACTGGATAGGTGATTACTTCTTAACCCATTATGTATAAAAAACTATCTTGCTTCCAATATTATTAAATGATTATGTTATCATTATAAGACCATAGTTTCTTTTTTTTTCTCTCTTTATTTATAATGTATTGATCTGGTAATGGCATGGTTTTTGTAAATGTCATTACTCCTATTAGAGCTGGTGAGTTTCTTGCTCGTTCTTCTTATCAGCCAAAAGACGTCCTGAACGAGCGGTAGGGAAAAAAAGTTGGACGAAAGTACTTTTAAGAAGTCTATTTGAATAAAGATTATTTTGACTTTGACTTTGACAATGGTCAGTCATAGGATGGGTGACTAAAAATGTATACAAGTCGTTAATAACCCACCAATCCGCACTAATTCTACATGATCAGTTACAGTCCATTCTCCCTATTCGATTCGATTTTATCCATAGGGAAGGCCCCAGCAGCAGGGTTGATGAAAGGTATTTCGAATGTTGGTAGATATAGTAATAATCATTGCAATTTTACAATAGAAAATACTTATGTTTATGTTGATATCTAATAAAACGCATTGCGCAATTGGAATAGACTCCCTTTTTATTTTTTTATTGTAATTGCTCTGGACATAAAGCAGTTTCATTACAGCCACTAGATGGCTTTATTTAATCAATTATTTTGTTATAACTTACAATATCAACGGAGGACCTCCATTGATGATCTAATGATAGATAGATATTAATAAATACCGCCCTTTGTTCGATACAGTAACTCAATACAGGAATTAAATTAAGGTATCGATATCACATTTAATTATACTTATACTTACTTATACTCGTATATATCCCTCCTCATAAATTACTTTGACTTTAACTTTACTATACACATACGTACCAAGAATTGAATTTTCAATGTCACGCACATCGACATCGATTAAGTAAGAAAGTATCCCTATGGGATCTGTATCCGCAGATATAGTATAGGTACTTTGTTAACGATCCGGCACATCACTAATTATAATACACAGTTTGGTACTACATAAAATACTTTATGAGGTGGCTATGGCTAAATGGCTAATACCTATTTAGTAACAACATAACTTATATTTTGGTTATACATTTATTTTGCTTTACCAACAAATTAATTTTCATTACCTTATCATGGATAGTAAGTAACAGTAAAAAATAAAATCGGAGTATGATATTTTATTAATAGTTATTTACATTAGAAGGTTTAACACTAAAATTGCACATTCAATTTTATTATCTTTAAACGTATCATACTTAACCAAATCAATCTTATTCATATAAGTACATACTCTATTAATATTTTTTGTCCATTTATATCACTACAATTTCTTTATTTGCATTATATATATATTATACATGATATAGTATAAGAACTCCTACTGACTACATAAATATTATGTAGAATATCTACTGTATTACATATATTTACATAACTAGCACAATACACGAATAAATAATTGTGGGGTTAAAAAGTCACTTACGAAAAACAAATTTTAGTAATCTATTAATAAGATCAAAGAATACTTAGGATATTATTATAACTCCTCGTCTTTAAAGCTTAAGTTACGATTTCACTGTTTCTATAATAAAATCTAATGCTCTGAGCCTGGTTTATAGGCAGAGTCCCAAATATCAGCGAAGCATACACTACAGTGGAACCTATAGAACATGATAAGAGGTAAACTAATATGGCCCAGAATAGACCAGACTACTTTGCCGAAGTATGTGTATCTTTCATCTAAACTGTCTGGTGATTTATAGGAGAAGGTATAGAAGAGCCACATCGCAACGTTGGCTATAATCAGGAACATGAGCACTTCCCTGCCGGGTTTATTTCGTCGGAGTTTCTTGGAGTTGCTGCATCGACGCAGGCCATCCATGATGAGAGGCGTTTGTACAAGCACTTGAATGGCCTGAAAAATAAATAAAGTCATAACTAGATTATGTGAGAGGAAAAATGAGTTATCTAATTATATACAGTTGGTAAAACACTTGCTATTATTTGTGTTCTATAGACCTGTATTAAAAGTCATAATACAATACCAGTTGTGTAAGAAGATATTAAAATTTTATACATTTACGAAGGTCGAACTCTTCTTATTCTTGTTTATTAAAAGTGATACCAAAACCAGGATACTTAAAAAGAAACTGATATGTTTTAAAACATGGACATTTAAAGATGTGTCCAAACTTTTCTTTGGAAAATTGAATACTCGTACATACCATTATTGAATAATTGGTGATGCTGACAGGATTCGTGAGGGTGATCGTTGCCAACAGTGAAAATGTTGTTTCCAATGCAAATGCTGGTATACATATAAAGAGAAGTACGTCATCCAGTAGCGAAATGGGGTGTTCGTTGATGTCCAGTTTCCTGAGCTGGTTGAAGGCTATGACTACCGCGAACAGTAGAACAGAGTGCAGTGCCAACATTGTGTAGTCGTTCAGCATATGGCCGATTTTTAAGAAATCCCTAGAAGACAAAATAAATTGCTATTCATTATCATTATCATCTATTCCAATCCAGATTCCGTAAGAAATGTCAAACTTAGTTATTATTGGATCTCACAGACACTATTGTAAAAACTGTGGGGTACTTTTTTGGGAGACCCCACAAGCCTATCCCATGGGTATAATAGTAATAATATTTGGGTATAAGAAATTCAATTTAGTTCATCAGTCAGATTATAGAAAAATATTAGATAAGTATTTTTTTCCTTCAATTAAACAAGAAATTAGATAACGATCGAACGAGGTTGACGTCATTCGACATTTCAACTCAATTTGTCGCTTCAACTTAACATTTCAACTTAATTTCTTGTAACTTCTTTCTTCTGACAAACAGATAAAAAAATGTCATCATATTCTTAATGAAAAATGCTTAAAAATCCACTTTGTGCCTGGCACTCTGAGATGGGACTCGAACCCATGACTTTTCGCAATCCTGGCGACTGCTCTAACCACTGAGCTACAAACACTTGTTACTTTTACGCTGCTACTTTAATCGGTCTGATTGGTCGATATTTTTCGTGTTCGGCGAAGCCTTTAACGTTGTCTAAATTAGTTTTATTTCAGTATAAAAATATTTATATAACTTTCCTGTTATTTAATTTAGTAATTTAATGTTATGGAACTTCATATTCTTCCAGACATTTTAGGAAACTATTTATAGAACAAGGAAATCATTTTATTATGTTTTCGTAACGTTAGAAATTGTTTTGTTCAACGTAACGCAAACTTGATTTCTTTTTTTTTCAAAAGTTACGACACAGTTAAAACATGATTGTAAGAATCTGAAATAAGTTTTTAATTGATAACTTTATAAAGAACACTTAAAAGGTCATATAAAAAGTAATCATTTTTGTAATTTTAGGATAAATCTCGATACGTTCGATATAAAAATAGGAAAAGTAAATAGTTTAATCGAATTAATAATTTTTGAAGATTTTTCTGAAAAATATTGGCAATTACTTTAAAAAGCACAATAGGCAATACAAATTTGGTTTATAAGATATAATATTCCACTTAAAGTTTCAATTAAGGATACGCTTTTAAATTAATTAGTTTTTTTGGAAATGTGAGATGCCCATTTAGGCTTCATTAGGGATCTTCATCTTAGAGAGCCCATATGCTAAGTATAGTAATATAATTGTTGGATTATTTATAGATCTTTGGAGCGCGATAAGGTAATCATGGTTGACGTACAGCACCTGTTTGTTTTAGCAAAGAGTAATTTGTTATAGGTCATTTAGAACGACCAGCAGAGCGCTTCTGTAAAAATCCGATCTCGAATTCGTATTCATTTAGGTGTCCGAATGCACTTCGAAAGCGGCGTCCGCTTAACCTTGAATTCGTATTAACATTTGCTGACATAAGTGAAGTGACTTTCTACATACCATATGGCATATCAATATTGTCATGTATTTTTATAAAAATCCGAGCCCTGTAATTCCAGGAATGGAATCATTAGAATTTCTACGATAATATAAGTAAAATGGATTCACTTTCGAAATGAATTCGAATTCGGGTTTAGATTTTCACTGAATCGCAACTGAGTGACTGATAATGACGTGTCTAAGATGTCATCATCTTAAGTACGATTGCCGACTACTCAATATATACCATACAATTTTATATCATTTCTTAGATCTCGTTTTGTAATAACGAAGATAGAGTCACGTGTGCAAGAATGAGCAAAAATCAAAGAAATGTTATCCATAATATAAGGGCTTTAGCTTCTAGGATTAGAAATATGAGCATTAAGTATTACTATACTAATATTATACAGGTAGAAAAGATTTGATTGCTTTTTTGTTTCTTTGCACTAAAGAGGCTCCTAAACTGCTGGAACGAAATAAAAAATCCTTTCACCTACGAAAAAACAACATCGTACATTATGAAATAAGCTATATTTATATTTAAGCGGACGAAGTCGCGTGATAACACCTAGTGTTTAATATTTATAGTGGACTCACTCTCCAACGCTGCTGAAGACATATCCGATGATAAGCATCCCAGCAATGACGACAGTGAGTATCAGTCCAAGGAACAAGCCACGGTTGGAAGCGTGGCAGTCCGCGTGTATTACTATGTTACTGGTATAGTCATTATCCTCGTGTGCAGTAGGGATCCTGAAAAAGAAATTACTTTATTTATTGACGAACTTCGTAGCCGTATTCGAGCGTAGGTTCGAGCGCCGGTGTCAAGAGTTAGATTCCCGCTTGGGTCACCGTAGTAAAACGGACTTTTCTATATTGTCCTGGGTCTGGGAGTGGTGGTACCTCTGTTGTCTCAAATAGTCCATAACATGGGGTCTTTAGTTATTCGTTAGAGAAACGACTGCCCAGTGCAGGTTTTTGAGGCTGTTAACGTCTGCAGATGCAGCCGAGACCAACAGCTTAACATGCCTTTTGAAACACGAAGGAGCTCTAGCTAGATTATAGATTTTTGGTCACCCATCCTATGACCGGTCCTTGTGAAAGTTGCTTAACATACGCATCATAGACATGCGTAGAACGCGCATACGCTAATCATATGCGTCTTGGAGCTCATAGTTTCGATGACATATTTAAAAAGAATTTTTTTTTGTTTTTTTCTTTAATATGCTTAATAACTAATACTTTGTATGTATGTTGTTTATGTTCGAAAGAAATAACTCTATTATCAGGTTTAGGGTACCCTGTACCCTACCCTAAGGCTAATGTACTAACTACTAATCTAGTGTTTACTAATATTATAATATAATTTACCTGCAAACATTATTGTCCATCAAACTGGACGTCTCGGATTCAGTGCTTTCCTCATTATGGCAATGGCCTATGTGACTCCAAATGATGTAGTATATTGCCACTATAATGAAAAATGTGAGGTCTTATAACTATTGATTAATTACTTCAAAATAAAATTACTTCACAAATAACGTCTAAAAAACGGTTTAATTAAAAAAACTTCGTGTTTTTCTAAGGGGACTACCAGAGACAAAACGTGAGGTAATAAAATTTTCTCTATAGAAGAAAGTAACAAAATTAATGTTACAATTTTCCATATCTTGATAAAATTATAGCCCTTTTACATATATAAGTAACTTGGTAACTTACAGTAATTGTAATAATTACAGTACAGTTACAGTAATTGGAACTATAATTATTTCCCCATACCAATATCATTGTAAAATATCCCAAGCTCAAACTTCGTTCAGCTACAAAGTGATTGCTATATATTTCCCCTTAATAAAAGAGTTCAAATTCAAAAAGAAAAACAAAGTTTTTTCACAATTTCATAAGTTTTGTTGATTCTCAATTACAGCTTATTTGAACTTTTTTATCCAAAATCAAAAGTGAGATCATCAATTTAAAGTGTGTGATTCTTTTTTTAAGCCAACTCCAATCAGTCGAAATTCTTAAGCATTTGCTACTTTTTCCATGGTTTAGCATCGTTAATAGAGCATATTTACGAACAATTAAATAAGTAAGTTTAATGACAAAAAGTGGTAATCAACCTTGGTAAAGTTGTCATAAGTAGCAATGCGTTTACTGGCATGTTTTTATGGTTACCTATATAAAGATAGAAAAAGAGAAAAAATGTGACCAAGTAAATGTTTTCTCGTATAGTTTTGTGAATTCAAAAAAAAATTAATTAAATATTTTTAATTTGTTTGCAATGTTAACAATGAACGAGTTAACCTTTAAATTAGTATAATAACAATAAGATATCCAAAATCATTTACCAATAAGAATATTGAATTCCACACTAAATGGATATAAGTACGGTGATATGTTTTGAATGATGTCCATCAGCGAAGTTGTTCCAGCACAATGCGAATTGTAAAGACCACTTATATCTAAGAAACGGGAATCATAAGTGGCCTCTGAAAAACCTGAAAATAGGGATGATGAAATATTAATTGTTCTTGTTCTCATAAATCGAAGCAAATCTTTTTAAGTAAGTGTCAGTTTCAAAAATTTGAACATGTTTAATATTATTATAAAAAATACTGGAAAAAGACACTTGCGTCTTACAAAGAAAGCCTACTCTATAAGAAGAAATGCTCTATGCAGTTCTAAGTGTCAAAAACTTTACAAACACTACAATTTAAAATAAATAGATAATAATTTATATTATTTTCTCTTTCAACTTATGGGATAAGAATTTTGTGATAATAATAGACTATAAAAATTACATAGATGACACTAATTCGTATTTTATAGTTGATATATAATACTATACCGTTAATATCATTATAATCTGTATCGTTCCCGTATATGGAATTTGCATAAAGTGTAAGCGCTAGTACAGTTTCTCTGACGATTGCGGAAAGCCAAAAACATAGACTACTTCCAATTATATGCATAACGGTAATGTGTGCCAGTCCCTGAAAAAAAAAATGATATGAAGAAAACCTTTATTTATGATAATAATGCATTTATTCAATTATCTTAAACGGTTCGTGTCCGTGATCATAACTCAACTTGGGACTTTGGACTTGATATCAACTTCGGACTTGTAAATTTTTAAGCATTTTTGTTTAAGACATATATCGATAATATTGTGAAACAAAATTTGATTTTTTTCTTATATAATCATTGTACTTACGGGTAGCTTCAATATGATGACATTAGAGTATTTAAAGATGAAGTAGAGCTGCAGGAAGCTATAGCATGGTGATAGAACATCTAACACGACTTGCGGTATGACTACACAATCATCATTCTCTACGGTCTCATCTAACAGTTGGGCTACTTGCACGGCAATTAGGAGCACCGAATGGATCAAATGTCCTAACGCAAAGGCTGTAAAGAATAACATGTGACCATTTAAAATATCTAATTTATTATTATAAAGAGAATGGATTTGATTGTTTTTTGGCATTGAATTAATTATTTCACCTATGGTTAATTCAATTACCGATTGAAATCGCAGTAAAAGTTACTTAAAATTAAGCTTAATTCTATTATTTTTAAGTTATCTAACTATTGTCGTTGTTTACGAGCAAAGCAAGATTAAAGTTCTTTTATTTTCTATATATGGTGTCTTGTTACTTAACTCGAGAGTATGTTGTTTGTTTATTACCTCGTCGGAAATACATTAGGCTTTTGCTAACGAAAATTTTTGTCATAATTCTATTCTATATTAATAAACACTAGGCAAGGTTGGTTTCATGTTATCACTAACTCCGTCTCTTAGAATTTCTTGCTGGTTCTATAGATAAATAAGTCTAATAATAGACATTTTTGCTCGTAATTCAAATATGAAATTTTTATTTTAAGTAATAATAGAGTTTACATTATACATTATATCCTGCACTTCAATTTGCGAGTATTGATTCCATTATCTTATGCTACATACAGTAATATTCATACCTGCAGCTCCTAATTTAAGGAAGAAGCTTCCAGAGTGTCTTCCGTAGTTGAAGCAGTAGTCGTGGTTGAGGGGTATAAGAACCGGTTGTGGGAACGGCATTGACCGATTGTCGAAAGAGCGGTCGCCGTTTGGTGTATTAATGCTGTATTCCTCCTGGTACATGAGATTAACGAAGGAATTAGATAGATAACAATATAATACGACACAGGTCTCTATTGACTTTCCCAAAACTTTTATACATTTTTGTTATATTCTTACATAAATGTATAAAAGTTGTTAGCGCTTTCGTTCTGCGATGTTGAAATTAAACTCCTTCCGCCAGGGCCGACCAGAGTGAGTGAAAAAAAAAAATTGCGGGTTTTCCCGTGCTTCGGATAGCGGGTGAAGCCATTGGTGCCGGCTGCATCTGTATTTGATAACACTCACAAGCTTGCCTTTCGAAGCACGACGGAGATAGATATAATAAATTTTCGGTCACCCATCCTATGACCATACGGAATTTATTATTATTATTTATAAACGAAAGTTACTTTCACATCACAGATTTAATAACCTAACCACTGCACTATCGAACTCCACGATTCATATATATCGAATATTACGATTCATGCACATCGATTTTTTTTAGTTGACAACAATTAGGTACTGTATTCAGCACATTAATCAGATTGATACAACTTTTAAAAAGGGTTCAAGCATTTATTTAACCACCTACGGATTTTTCTATATTAGTGATCCTATTTATTAAATACAAGTTAATATAACTACGTACGTAATTAATAATTGAATGTATGAACTAATTAACGCTGTCAATTATTTGAATTAATTATAAACTCACCTCTTGTTTCCTGAAGTATTCCGCCACTTTTTCTTCATGTAGAGCTTTAATTTTTTGATTTTTTAGTGCTATAGATTTATATCGGCCAATGTCAAATAATAAATATAAATGATACACCATTCCAATGCTTAAAAGGACGATGGAAAAGTACTAAAAATAAAAAACATGTAAATTAAATATTTTATATAAAACAATAATAAATGATAGTCTAGCTGTTTGTTTACAACGATATCTGTTAGCAGTCTTACTAATATCATAAAGACGGATGTTTGTAGCTTTGGTCATTTGTTACTTCTTCTCGTAAAAACTACTTGAAGAAATTTGGTACACGGATAATTAGCCTGGTTTAACATATAAGTTACTTCTTATCCAATCAAAAGATACCCTATAAAGTACTACCTAGGGTATCCATATTATCTGCATGAACGAAGTCACGAGCAAAAGCTAGTTAAAAAATTCAGAAAAAAATTGTACTTTCAGTTAAATAGCCTAGTCGTAATAATAAATAAAAAAGATATCGATATTACATAACTAGTAAGTTAAGAATAATACTGCATACTTACTATAGACACTAAAGTACCCATTATGGGACTGGAAATATATACGATGAAACCCAAAGTAACTAATACTGTTGCATATATGCAGCTTATGATTAATGTGAGATATTTTCTGTAAAAAAAAAACATTAAATTCAAAATCATACAAACTGAAAACATAAATACTAACAAACGTTGTATTTTATTGTGACCATAACGCGTTGTGATTTATTACTTCACTAAATGAGCGATTTCGATCTTTGAGCGTAACATATATTTTTTCGCGTTTTGAAGTGTCTTAAAGATATTTTATTTTATTGAAATCGGATCAGAAAAATTCTAAAATAAACAGCTAAGTCAAGCCCTAAGCCTTACAGTGTATTGTTTTTAACGAAAAGGATTAGATACCGCCTAAATAGAAATTTTTGAATCATTTATATTTACTTGGTCATTCGTTTATTATCTTCAGGGCTCGTCGGTGGTGGTGCATGTGTCTCCACAGACCGCATTGATTGAGCATCCATAGTTGCCACCGATCGTTTACGTGGTGTGCTCACTCCACGAAGATCATTCGCCGATGCGAAAATGCGGTAACTATCTGTAATAATGAATTTAATATTTCATTTCTATACTTTATGTTCACCTGGGTGATATCAGTTAAAAATGGAAATATTATTATCCCTTCCATTACCTAGGTGAAGAAAATGGTATATATGTATAAGAACTCTTTGTTCACTTTGAGTTCAATCACCTTGGTGAAAAGGAACGATTCCCTATTTACTAATTTAATTCAAGATCGGATCCACCGTATGAACACGAATGAGCATGTCCACAAATTAATTAAGAGGGCATGTGGAGAAAGCAGTCTGTTATATTTTATATCATTAGATAAAAAAAATAAAAATAAGAAAACTTGCCATAGATGTAAATTTCTTTTAATTTTTAGAAAGGTACTCTCGACGTTAGAGAAGATACATTAGACCATCGATTCGTAACAGGATTCAGTGTCATTTAAAACTCTAATAGATAATTAACTGCAGCTCAGGTTATAACTAACAGTTTTCAATTGATTATACTTACTAAGAGATTTAGCATCGCCATTCCGTAAAGTTCCGTTGACGGGGAAAGGTGATGGACTGTTACTGTCACCTGGTGATTAGAAAACAAAACATGTAAGTATTATTTTAGAATAGTATAAATTATATAAAGCGGGACTCGAAAACAATTTTCTTAAAACCTAGATGGAAGAGGTTGTAAGCGCTACAATAACGTGTCTATGATAGTTTTATATTAAATAACTACGTCACAGCAAAGCGTACTTCTTCATTCAAATTGACGGTTGTATTTAAGTCCTTTGACGTGGGTCATTCGTTGTAGTTGCAAGATTTTCTATTTATCACGAATACTTTTATGCTTAAACAAAAATCTTTAGCATTAAATGATGCGTGAATGTGCACAAAATTCTTCTAAACTAAATAGACAAATTATTGCAAATTCCCAATAGCTCTTAATATTATTGATGTCAGTACCTATTATTATTAATATATATTTAAATAGTTAGGAAAAAAAATCTTCAAGCGAGCATCTGCACGAATTACTTGAATACTATGTCAGTATTAAAAAATGTGTTGATGAGATTGTGATTTTGGTATTGAGATTAAATGTCGTTATTTTTTTTTACGTCACTACTTTGTAAGCACTGATACTCTTTACTAAATTAGTTTTTTAGGCTCATTTTCTTATTAAATAATCTTATCAAAGCGTAATAAGCTTATTTTTATAAAGAATTCAATTCAATTCTGTTTATTAGAAGTGTTTTTTTAATTACAATAATTAAGCTAACTGATACATACCTATAGGTGTGGTTGTTCCAGAATCATCGCCTTTGCCCGATAGCACAAACCTCGGCATTTGTTCCTGTAAATAAAACATAATGGTCATGCCGCTACACTGTCGCATTTCCATTTCCAATGAAATAAAAAAAAAATGATAGTCGATGTGAATATCGAAAGCCATACGAAATCGGATTAATAACTTCATTAGTCGCTTGTTTCTCTCGATAGACACCACCCTGTATTTCACTATAATCCCATTACGATACCCAGCGAAGCACTGCAACGAGTTTCGGAAAAGTTCTACCCGAAAATGAAACGTTAAAACTTCCTGACTTTTGTTATGTGTTTATTATTTAATGTTTTATTGAAAAAAAACATGGTGCTTTTAGGTAATCACGAAAGCGGGGCAATTCTAAAAATGACATTAAACAAAGAATAATTTTGCTCCATATTACAAAAGTTTATTTATTTAATACAAGTTTTTTATACGAGGGTCAAACTGAAAGTTCTTAGAAAATCAAAAACTGATTACATTAGCCAGTTATTAGTTTTATTATATCTTTTCAAAATATTGTCCATTCACGTCAATACACCGCTGCATGCGATGGAACCACTGGGAAAAGCACTTTGCCCACTCATCCTTAGGGGTCTCTTCAATGGCATCGCGATACGCAGCCACCGCTTCTTCAGCATTCATAAACCGCTTTCCTTTAAGTTTTTCTTTAATTTTTGGAAATAAATAAAAATCACAAGGCGCGAGGTCGGGGCTATACGGCGGGTGACCCAGTAATTCAACGTTTGATGTCGCCAAATAGTCGATCGTTCGCTTGGCGGTGTGCGACGAGGCGTTGTCGTGGTGAAGGAGGATCCTACTGCGAGGTCGTTTCTCTCGAACTTTTTCCAAGACAAGTGGCAAACAATTGGTAGTGTACCATTCTGCAGAAACTGTTTTTTGATCCTCTAACACAATTGTTGCAAAATGACCTATCCTTCCAAAGAACGAGGCCACCATTTTTTTTCCCGCACTTCGATCTCTCTTCACTTTAGTTGGCAACTCCTCGAAAGGAAACACCCACTGAGCAGATTGTCTTTTGGTTTTAGGATCATAACAGTAAATCCAGCTTTCGTCACCTGTTAGTATGTCGAACACAGCATTTGAGGCAGCTCCGTTAAATCTTTCAATCATTTTACGACACCAATCCACACGATGGAGTTTTTGAGCCTCAGTCAAATTATGAGGTATCCACCGGGCGCAAAGCTTCCTGACCGCTAAATGTTCGTGGAGGATTTTGTGCACTTGACTCATACCGATGCCTAAGCTTGTCCGAATCTGTTGATAGGTCACTCTTTTGTCAGTCTCTATCATACGCCGCACAACACAGATGTTATCTTCAGTCGTCGCCGTAGAAGGCCGTCCCTCACGTAAATCATCAGTGAGATTAGTGCGACCACGTTTAAACTCATTAAACCAGTTGTAAACAGTCGCACGAGATGGGGCTTCATCGTGAAAGGCCAATCGTAGTCTATCATAACTTTCTTGTTGACTTAAATGACATCGAAAGTCATAAAAAATCATTGCACGAAAATTTTCTCGTGTTAAATTCATGATGACGTGACACAGACAATTTTCAATTTGCCGCCAAATCGTAAAACAAATGACAAATGAATGAAATATATACTCAGTAATATTGGCAAAGAGTTATATTTTCAAATTTTAGAATTATTTTTTTATTATATTGTTTATAAGTGGCCAGTTCTAAGAACTTTCAGTTTGACCCTCGTATACATTTAAAAAAGTAGTGCTTGATTTGGTTGTAATTTATCAATTCAGAATTTCCTTCTTTCGGTATACCCCAAAGCACTTTATTAGAGAACATCTCAATTATGCTATTTGTTAAAAACAATATCTAGATTTTAGTATTATGAAACAAGGAAGATATCACAGCACTATAAATTGTTTTTTTTTTCTAGACATTACAGTTATCATCATATTCACAACGCGGCACAGTGCGAATTGGTGGGAGTTAACGATTGCCCATGCATCTGGGACCAATGGGTTAAGTGTCTTCCGAAGGATGGCGGAGCTCGAGATAATAGTTTGTTGCTTAACAAACGTATCGCAGGCTGAGCGCGCTAACCACTATGCCATCGAGCTCCTCGTACATTACAACTATGAATATTATAATACGATATTTTGAGACACTTATAGGACTTTCAGTTTCCTATAAGACATGTCGTGTTGGTGAAATAGTATCAGCAAATTGATAATCAAGTTCTTCAAATTGTTCATGTTTATGACATGAAATCATGTTTAAAACATTACAATTTATGTATCTTGTCAAGTAGCATTGATTATACATTTAAATTATAATGGTTTATAAATAGAAATCATGTGACAACCTTATCATTTTTATCACAAAGTAATGAATCCATTCATAAAGATAAATTCATATTTAAAATCGAACATTTCCTACATTGCTATAATAAAAGTGACTCAGAAGACATCATGGCAGTGAATAAGGCAATGTTTGTTACTCTTTGTTGTCTGCATTATTTTTCCTTATTATGAGTATAAAAACTTTTTTTTGTAATTTTCTGTAAAGGAGACAAAGTACAAATATTAATTCTATTGAGTACGTATTTTCAGAAATCTGTAGGTTGCTTTGAATAACATTTTAACATTGCTTGGCTAAAATTGGTTTAATACTTTTTGACATAATGTGACCAGACCTTGGATAATTAAGAAAAAAATATCCTTTAAAAAATAAATCACACATGATAGGCAGTTGTATTATTGTTCAGGGTTGGATGAAACTCGTTTTATTTTCGATATTTCATTTGCGAAGTGGCCAGTTGACTGGACGAAAAAAAATAAAAGTAAAGAGATCGAATTTTCATTAGGTCGGGCGTTGGTGCGGCACGGTTTGTCCGCAGCAGGTATTTACAGCGAGGGACCGGGGGCCGGGGGAAGGGGCTCGCGGCTCGATGGACTCAAAAGGTTTACAGTTGGCTGCGCGAGAGTGACCCGCCTCACAAACACAGCCCGCGCTCGCTCGACGCTATGGAACTGTACCTTTTATGATTTTATTTTTCCGACGGACCGGCAGTTTTTAATCGGCTCGATTATTTAATTTACGTTGACTATCAACATTTCACAATGACGTTGAAATGTAGCCCGTCTTAATTGTTAATGAATTTGGAGGATAAAGTTAATGTTTTGCTTAGTAAATTATTCCATTTTATTCATTTGATCTGGGTGGGTCCTTGGAAAGTATTCTTGGTCATCTCACTAGAAGAATAAAATTTATAAGGAATCACTTATGTAGAGTTTTTCGGTTAACTTATTTTGTATAAAGTTCTTAACAATAAATTACTATGCAGTTTGCTAACGATAGACAATTGATTTTGTAGTAGTTTGGTTTTATCTTTATCGAACATCACTGAACTAATTCACCTTGATTGATTTTATTATCATATCGAGTGTATTGTAAAGCACTAAGCTAAAATACCGAAATAAAAATGCATACAAAGGAAACCTACAAGTAACGATTTCCATACCTCTCTAAAGGTGGCATGTCCATACTAATCTCATCTAAAAAATCATCATAGTCCATTGCGTCCATACATACGATTTTGATGTTTATTGGGACTCATGTATAAAACAAATACATTTAGAATAAAACACTTTTATTTAGATCCAAGATAAATGTTATAGGTAGTATGTTCTAAGTTTATAATATTTTTTAAACAAATATTTTATTTTTAAATATTTAACAACATCACATATATTGCTCAGATTCCAAGATGAGTAGCTAAAGCCCCCGTATTATGGAGTATCTGAGACAACGAAGATCACACAACACCCAGATCCGAGACAATATAGAAAAATTCATTTTCTACATTAACCCGACCGGGAATCGAACCCGGGACCTCAGAGATGGCGACACCTTGAAACCGGCGTGCGAACCACTCGGTTACGGAGGTCGCATAATAGCTTTATATATTATAGATTTAAAAATGTATTATATAAACGTATATAATGTAAAGTATTTATGTCATATTTGACTACAATTATCTAAAATTTATAAGGAATCACTTATGTCTAATTATCTAGTATCTTTTATCATTTTTTACTAAACTGTAATCTATTTCAAATTACATACGTCTAACAAATTTTCGTTTCCATCAAAATCTTAATGTTTACTAAGAATAATTTAAGAAAAAAGGCACATTCAAATTGGAGCTGTGCTTCTTGGCAATGTGTTTAGAGTGACATTCCTATAGAGGTTAATTTTCATTGGTAGATAAGTTTGATACTATACCGCATGGAAGAAGGCAGCATAACGGCTAAGAATTGATCGTCAATAACGCAAGCGTGATACCGCATCCAAATATTTCCGGATACAATGATAAATAGTCTTATTATATATGTATATAATAAGATTACTGATCGGAGTTAGGGTGTACGGGGTAGAGCTACTATATTCTGTGGTAGAGTCATCTCGGCTTATCTAATTCAAATGATTTTACGTCGTCGTTTTGATTTTTTCTGCCTCTATAAAACACCTTTAGCTGTATGTAATAAGTTGTAAGCGACGTAATCTTAAAAGGTACATAAAGTATTAAACATGTAATTACATATCGTAAGCTTCATAATCGCGAAAAAATATTTTTGTTATGATTTAATAAATTAATCCTTGGTATCAATGTGGAAGGATTTGTTTTATCTCAAATTCATTTGGATGGAAAAATCTGTGAAAATTGTCGTAATAATTATTATCCCGTTACCGATGATAAATAAGTAAGATTTTAACGATAATGCAAGCTAATCATAATTAATTAATATGACGTTATTTTGATTAGGAAGTTGAAAGAAACGACTGATAATAATATAAACGTATTGTGTTGTACATATTTTACAATATCACTTTTTATAAAGATTGTAAACTGAATTTTCTATTTTGTACAGTTGAGTGAGTTTTAAAGTGTCCACAATATTATAAGCAACACGATTTGAATTATAAAAAGTTTGTTTAATTTAGTTTTGTTAATCTATACTTAATATAAAGAAAAACATTTGATTATTTCTTTGTTTGCATTTTAATTGGTTTAAAAAACTACTGGCAAGATTTTAAGAATTCTTTCACCTACTGGAATTAACATCATACCTGGGTGACATAGGTTATAATTGGCGAAGTAACGGGAAAACATCTATTACACAGTTCTTCAATCTTATATTCAAATAGTAACATAACCATAAATTGAATAACACCTGCTTTGACTCGAGCTTTGTCAATTAAATCTCTTATTTTGTATGAAGACAGTACGTATAACACTTATTGATACGATTGTCGCATGTTTGAACATTACCCTTAAAGGAAAACAGCTATTACAGTGTTCTTTAATCTTATATTAAAATAGTAACATAACCAGAACTTTAATAACACCTGATTTGGTTCGAGCTTTGTCAATAAAAACTCTTATTTTGTATGAAGATAGTACGCATTACACTTATTGATTCGATTATCGCATGTTTGAACATTACCCTTACTAAACGTGTAGATAATAGATAGATTAGAACTAATAGATTAAAACTTTCTTTTTCTGACAAGCTGAGTATATGCTATGATCATTAAATGACCTTGTGAGAGAATTTGCTCTCACAGCTATACTATCTGTAATTACTTGCGTAATGTTAAGAGTGAGTATAAAGACAAAAGACTGTCCGTATTTATTTGATTGGACAGATTGGTACAGGCGAATTGCGCGTAAAATATGTTTTATTCAATTGCTGGTATACCATTATGATTAATACAAAAGTATCGCATAAAGCCCTCGACTACATAGTGACAAATATGTTATCAATTTTATCTGTAAAAAATGTATAGGTAATTAATTTGAATTGAATTACTTTAAATTTTATAAACACTTCATATTTACAATGAGTTAGACGATCAAATATTCTAAAGTTATTTTCATAATTAAATTCCGAGATAAACCGTTTTCATTTCAGTGCCAAAATTACTATATGAAAGTAAAAAGAAATATTTAATAGGAAAATTTCATATGATGTTATTAAAAATTGTTATTGACTTGATTCACGAAGATAACGATCAAACTACCAGGTTATCAATATTTATAATTCAATATCAGTTACTATTGAAATAATGTGATTTTTATCATTTAGAATGATATTGTGTTGCAATGATCTTTAGTTTATCACATTAGCAACTACGTAATTATCGTGAGGCCTTTTTATATCTTTCATTAATTAAATTAAAATACAATTTTACGGTCTTCATCAGCAACTTTTATTATCTTTGTTGTTTTTAATTACTGAAAAAATAATATAATATTTAGAATTTTGACGACATCTGTGGTCGAGTGGCTCGCACGCCGTTTTAAGTTGTCGCTGTCTTTGAGGTCTCTATTTTGATTACCGATCGAGTTAATATATAAAATGAACACTTCTATATTATCTCGGGTCTAGGTGTTGTTTTATCTTTGTTTTTCAGATCCGATCCTAAGTAGCTGAGGCACTTGTATGCCTCAGCTACCTAGGATCAGAGCAATATTTGACATGTTGTTTAATATTTATTTATGCTATTAAAGATAATCGAAATTCCGGTCAAGCCAGTTAATTAATATTTTATAAATATATATATAAATAATAAACATGAAATTTATACATGTTTAATAATAATATACAAGATGTAATTTATATCTTTTTAGTAATTTCAAGGTCTGCCGCCGTAATTCAATATTTTCACAAATGCTCGTAACAGTCTAGATAAACAATATTCAAAAACTATTATTCAATATTTAATATATTGAATTTTACAATACAGTTATGAAACTTTGTTATATGAAGTCCGTTATAACACATAGGTATGTTACAAAAATCGTTTTAAGTGGATCAAAACACTAATAAATAATATCACGGAAAATTACAACCAAGCCTAGACTAAATATATTATACAATGTTATATACAACTAATATAACAGCTCTTGCCCGTCTTTTAAGTAAGTAAATAATAGCATGTTATTTGAGTTAATTGTCTTAATTAAAAAAGAACGAAAATTTAGTTATTGGTTATTAATCGTGAAATTTTGTAATAATCTGCCATTGTACTTTGAATAAACCGATGTAAATGTTATGATTCACTTGTTCCATAGTTGACTTTACGAACACCATCAATACACCTTTAAATGTAGTGATGGTGTTACTAGAAAACTAGTAATAATAACAACAAAGTGAATCTTAAGTGGCGTAACATGTAGTATTCAAATGTATTGATTAAAATTCTGTAAGTCTTGTTAAAATATTTTAATTACAAACAACAGTATAGATCTTTATATATATTGCTAAAACACTTGTATTGTGATAATAAGCAACAATTATGGTAATACAGCACTGGCTTTTTTTTCTACATTGACCGCGAATCGAACACGAGAACGCAGAAGATGTGTAAGGGTTCTGGATAATGATACGCCAGCTCTTGATGCTATAAGATATCTGCCTCTGTCACAGACTACATATCAGAGCGCACAGAGCTACCTCTTACATCCCTTTTCTTTTCTAATTAATCAACTTATCTTTTTTTTTGATGCTATATATCAGAGCACACAGAGCTACCTTTTACAGGATGACACTTTAAAAATTAAATTGATCCCAAGTATCTGAGTCGGCTGACTTACTAATGCATTTTTCTATTATCACCGACTCCATATATCGACCTTTTCCTTTCGGAAAACGAGTATTTTCTTTTGCTACAGGTTTTCACAAAGTTTTCATTTAAACAACATTAGGAGCTACTCGTTTGATTTCTATTAGTTATGGGGTGATATAGTAGTTTATAGGCTTTAACCGCAACATCGACATAAATTCAATATAACGGCTTTGTGTTGCACTAAATATGTTAATTTGTGTATGTTAATTGATGATGGGACTAGGAAATCGGTGTGACGGTACTTAGTTGTATACGACATTGGAAACCGCATTGATGTAAGTCGCGGCGATAGATTTGCATTTTCATTTATATTAGTATAATTTAATTTGTGCTATATTGGTAGAGTCACACGAGGAAAGAAGAGGAAGAATATGAATAAATGAAAATAAACTATGTTTAATTCTTTATTTATAATAAAAAAAGGCCTGTAAAAATATCAATACCGATTGCAAACTTACTTTAATTTAGAATTTAATCACAATATTCGTCAGGTGTTACGTCACGTATGAATACTTTTTTACATTCGCTAAACAAAGTTTTGTCATAGTATTAATTGGAATAAAGTTTATTGAAGCGAAGATCTTAATTATTTTTTGAAAGATAATATGTAATATGGCAACGAGTGTTTTTTTATCAAATTGACGATTACAATTCGATTATCAAGCGCATGATAAAGATTTAAAACGAAAAAGACAAGGATTTTTGAAAAAAAGACCATAGTTTGATTGATTTTGTTCTATTTTCTTTGAAATGTTATTTTAAATTACAGACTTGCTTTAACGAATTCTTTGAAACAAGATGTAAATTTTGAGATCAGTAATTTTTTTTTTACTTTATATGATAACGCATGACTACGATCCCACCTGATGGTAAGTGGTGATGAAGCCTGGGTAGTATAGCGCATTAACCTAGTAACAGCCTACTCACTCTTGATTTGAAGACATTCAAATTAAAATTTATATATATTTTCTTACATAGTTATATAAGTAAATATGGAATTTCGACTTATCAAGTGGTAGGGGACTTTCCATAATAGAACAGCGTAAATGATTCAACTTTAATTTGACCTGATAAAGTGTAGGTTTGTTGACAGTCTTTTATTAATTCAACTGATTCATTAACATAGTTATAATAATTTTGATCCTTTATCTACTCCTTTTTTGTCCTGCTATGATTTTCTGTAATAGAATTGATCTCGAAGGCGAGGCACTGTCACAACATAGAGGTTCAATAAAATAAAATCTTTATTACATTTTCAAGTAGGTTTTATTTGTCCGAGCCTCGATGCTGTAACAGCGCTGTGTTTGAAGATATATTCGAGGCTGATTTTATTTCAGAATAGCACTGACAAGTTTGCATATCGAATTTTTAGAATGAGTAATTCGTTTTGTAGATTGACTGAACTGCATATTAAATTATTCTTTGAAAATGACAAGAAATAAAATCGAATCACTTTAATATAGATGTGGTCGCAAGTCTCGAAAAGACGTAACTGCCATTTGTTCAACGTATAATATATACGTATAATATAATATATAAGACACAATGATGGGTCTGAAATATGTTGAGGATGCGAAGGAAAAACTATCTCTCTTACCCTTGTTTAGTATATGGAAGAACAACTTACGTTTTCATCAGCGTAGACAACGTTCCTCAAAGGTCGTTTTCTAGCAGCCCGGGCCGCGGTGGCCGTGACCAGACCCCCTGATAATGGCCCAGGCTGGGACATGGTTCTGCGCCGGTTAAGATTCTCTTCTGTGGGCGTGCCGCCATTGACTGCTCGGTTTAAAACCTGGAGCAATAAAACAGTACCTTTTAAAAATCTTTACTAAACTAGTTAATAATTTTGTATAGATTTTTATAAATGTTTTTGTGATACCTGGCGCATTTGCTAACTTGTACGTTTTGTTTATCAGATGTTCCGATCATTTTATATTACTTCCAACATTTTTGTCATGGTTTGTTTGATTGTAATTGTTATTGTTTGATTATTTGTTTGGAAATAATACGGAAATATAAATTTTATACTTTAATATGTTCAAAGTGTAAGCTCATACGTCATAGGTACAAATCATGGGTAATAATTTTCACGTTTATGGAGAGTAATTATTGACATGTTTTTATATTATAAAACAATACTTGTTGTAATTGTATTCAAATGGAAAGCTTGAGTGTGTGTGTTATGATAAATAATATTGGTTTGCATGTAACGCCGTAGCAGATTTTCATTTCAATAAGAGTTACATATTTATTAATCCTCACCAAAAAATAATTAAAGATATAATTTTTTTTGTGCCTATCCTGCAAGGGATACGACGTGAAGATATGTATAGATAGATAAACTTATTTCTACGACAGAACTTTTTAGAATTTATTTGTTTTGAGCACAATCAATTTCAGTGATATCATTCTTAATCCCCCTCTTAATACGCTTAGCTACCTAAACTCTTGATGTATTACTATGATTAATGTACGAATATACTTGTGCAAATATGTTCTTCCTTAAATTATTGTTTATAATGATTGAATAGTAGCCTTCGTTATAATGTTCAAGTGACTTTTGAAGTGAGCAGATTATGTGGAATTACAAATAGCAAGAGGGTACTTAACACTTTTGTTTGATTTGTCAATAAATTTGCGGAACATAGTGAATGTATTCCACGTAACTAGGAAAATATGTGGAATATTTGCTAGCTTTAACCCGGCTTATATCTACTGTGATTTTTTCAATGGAATTCCGGGATAGAAAAATATATACCTAACATTATATATTTCTCGATAAGAGCAACATATTTTGTCCTGTCTTTTCTGAAAATTTTTAGTTTTATAATGATCGATTTTTTTTTAATTAAGTTCAGAAGTGTTTTGATTTCATTCATTAATAATTCGAGCTAGTTCATGCGCCAACTAAAATAATCTATTTTTTGAATAATACTACTTTTAAAAGGTTTTACGCGTTATTTTTTAAACATCTATTATTACATTTTCAAATAAAAGTATGTACTTCTATTTGTGAAGTTACGTTTTGCAATACAGATCAAGCATTACAGTGAGTTCAGAGTTTAGCTGAGAGCTTTTCAAGAAAAAAGATTTTTTTTAAGAATACCAAACTATTGTTGGAGTGACATTAATCAAGGAAGGACTTTGTCTTAAAATGGTTCTATTCAAATAGTAACAGTCATGTAAATAGTAGTAGTCATATAAAATGATATTTGAAGAAATAACCGATTATAAAATACAATCGCTAACATGGAATATTGAAGTTCAATTGGACATTATCTACTTTTATATTGATACTGATTTTATAATTTAATTTGTTTGACATTCTTCAAGTTGGAATAATTATTGTATTCTATAATAGTTTTATATAAAAATGATATTAACTAATTTAATAATTTTGACATACATATATCCAATGTGACTTTGTAATTTTATCAATATTTGCATGCTATAGTTGATGGCTAAATGGGCTGAACTCAAATTTTAATTCAATCTACAATGTACCTCATTTAAAAGCAAATAAATCATTATTTATTTAAATTGTTCCTAATATGGGGCTGATTTTGAAATTATTTATAAGTCCAGGAAATACATTAATAGCATTAATACAACTTTTGAATTGTCTAAATTTTCATATGTTTCCCCACCACCTTTAGGACTCCTTTTAGCTGTAGAGAGGAACGTGCGAAATCACACATATTAGGAAATAAGTAACTGACAAATAATGCAATCTATTTTGAACTTAACGAAAAATCTATATGGGTATAAATTCAATTATTTGAATTCGATAGGTGTGATGTTAACCTTAATTTTGCTACTCACCCCAGGATCTATGTTAGGTAGTTCTGGCATCGCGTCTATTTCCATGTGTTGCAAAGAGGTTTCCGAATGAAACCTTTTATCTCCCAACTTTTTACTATTTATTATTTCGTCCATCATTTCTTTGTTATCAAGGTTTGGATTCGTCATTTTGAGATCTTCACTCTTCTCTTTGTGTGCAACTATTAAATTTTCACTTATATTAATAAAACAACATACTTCAAGTTTCTATAACTAGGAGCAATAGAACGCGCTCAATCAACATATATTTGCGCGATTTAGATTGCAAATGAATAAAAAATCACACCGTTATCACTTATCAAACGGAATATATCTATAATAATTATCATAACCGTTCGATGATTGCCTAATAAATTTATTAAAACCGAGAAGTTGATTCATGGAATTTGAATATTGTTGTCATATGGGATATACTTTAAAAACTATGTTTATATTGATCTAATATATATGTGTCTGGGCGGCCGGTTCTAGAACAACATCATAAGGGTTTATATTCTTAATGATAAATACTTAAAAAAATGAATTTTTAAGATATAATCATAGAGGTTTCTTCTGTTTCCCAAACTAGTGATTCTAAATGGGCCCATGGAATCGCTAGAGAATGCTAATAATTTTATCAGTTATTTTTAACCACGTATATTGAAATATTCAAAGTACAGGCCTGGAGTTATGAAATTATTATTATTAAAGAATATTTGAGAGTTATTACAATATACCCTTTTAATAAATAACGAATTCTTGAGCCACGGTCAGTACACACTACGTCTCTCAAACGAAGCCAAGATTCAGATGGGTATGTACACCACGGTTCTTAAAAAAAATTACATAAATAATTCTTAATGAGCTGACTCGAGACTTGTCAAGTGAGACTTATGCACAGTTTCAACTTTGTTCCCAGAACGTCAATTATTTAGTTAAGAAGATACTTGAAGTTCAAATTCGAATAGAATTTATTACGTCCCTTTCGATATTTCATAGACTAATAATATAGTAAAACAACGATCGGAGGACTGGGAATAACCCATATAAATAAGATTTTCAACTATTTTTAGATTTAGTGGTTTCTAGATTGGCTCCGAAATACATATTTTTATTTATGTTAGTAACTAGTGAAATATTTTGTTATTAAAACAGTAAATATCAGCTAAGTAATCTAAGCAACTAAAAAGTTATATCTTCACCAAAAATACAAAAAGTTGATAAAACCAAAACATTTATGTTTACGTTAAATAATTAATAGTTTGAATAACTACACCATGACCACAGCATTAATTTATCAAATCGATAAATCATTATTAAAAAAGATTAAGCTAAGAGACGTCAAATGTTAATTAATAATAATGCATGTAGATTAATGAAGACTTTATAAATTTTGACCATCCATCATTTCTGTAAAAGTACTACATTTATATCGTTTTGATGTGGTGTGCAGATGACTTTTTTCAGCTTGTGATATAGAATATCTTCTTTTTATATATTGCCTTGAATTCAAGTTAATGTTATACGTTGACCGAAAAAGGCTTTAAGAGTGTATATAACTGTTAGATCCGATATTGTCATTCGTATCAATTTATAGATACGTGTTTAATAATTTTCTGATTATAAAGTGCGCGGGAATCGATATATTGTTGTGATGTGAGAAGTGTAAAAACGTATAACATCCGTGTAAATATGTATAAACGTATAACAGCAGGAAGTGACTTTGTTTATAGAAATGTATTTGAAATGTAATGTAAATGTATTTTTATGAGGATAAAGGAAATGTATTTTTCCTTTATCCTCATTATATATTAGAGTTAGTAATTAGATGTGTTGTTAGGGACAACAGTTGATTGTAACCGATGAAAACTATGTTTGATATTAACAAAATTATCATTGTCTTGTCGAGATAATAGCTTGTGTGCTACTCTAGTTTTAAAGCTTGTACCTCGTCCATATATTTTTTTTAAAAACGTTTGATTATACTTATTAATTTGGAAAGTCATCAATCTAACTGATTAATTTAAAAGTGACTTATCGATTCCGTTGTTGATATAATTATTCTTGTAAATGTCAATAGTAATTTGATCTAATATTCGATTGTCGATTAATAGATAATGTGTTTGATTTTTTTTTTGTGTTTGATAAAGTTGGTGAGGGGACTGTCCTTCTAATTCATAAGTACCTACATGAAGACCAATTAGTGAATTAATTGCAAAAATATAAACACCTATTATCGATTTATTATTGAATTTGCTGTTTTTCTGCAACTTCGCCTGCGTACATTGTAGCCTATTTTACTCGCTTATGATCATGTTATGATGTAGCTTCCCGTAGGTAAAAGAATTTTCATGTACGTATCAGTATTTTCGAAGACTAACCTCCTACAAACAAACAGACAGATTTAGAAACTTTACCTCTTTATACTCTCAGTAAACTTTAATTATATTGGTTGATTTATGTAGTGTATATATATATATATATATATATATTTTGCAATTAATATATTAGCAGTATAATAATTAATTTCAGTGTTGCTTATCTGCTTAATATATACTAAGTAATTTCAAGAATCTGAGGTTTTGAGGCGCTGTATGCTGAAAGACGGGTATTAACTCAGTTCAGCAGCAGATGCAAATCAATTAGTTACAGTATATGATAAGCTTAGATATAACGAAAATCATGTATTTTGTTGTGGTCTAATAAATATTATTATTATTATAATAATAATATTTATTCAGTAGAATCATTACATGTTTCTTACAATATTTAAGAAACATGTAACGATTCTACGAACGAGTTAAACGTAGCATCCGTTGCCGAACTAGATCTAAGTCTGTATGTCGGTGTACTGCGCCATTACCCCATGGCAAAATATTATTTTATGTATTTAATTGACAAAGGTGATTCGAATAGAAAGTAATAGACATTAAAAAAAAAGTATACTAGCATTATATAAATTAAGAGACAACTTATCTAAAAGCGAGGGTGTAGGGGTGTGTTAGAAATTAAAATTTGATCTTTCGGAATGGTTTATATTTTGAAGGCCGTGGTATTTAAATGATAAACGTCTATTTTCTTATTATAGTCTATTGTTTAAAAATGGCCCTAGGAATAAAAAAAAATGTGCTAAAGACAATTTTACATTTGAATATCTGAGAAACATTTCCCCAACTCATGATGCAATATGAGAACAAGGACTGTCAAAATGCATATAAATGCATAGCTTTAATCTATTAGGTTCCAACAGGTGTCTGAGATTTTCAAACATGTATATATCAATTTACGTACTCTTGAGTTTAGTAATTCTATATGTTCTCGAAAGTTAGGTGCTTATCGGTTGCTTATCAATAGTGACAACTAGATATTTGATATAATCTATAGACACATGAAAGATCTTACATTCATCATCAATAGTCAAATTACTATCTTTTGTAATGGCCAGCACATAAAGGTACCTACTACGATTTAAATTCACATCTGTAGGCGTGACCACCTGACTCTCTAGCTATGAGCTATGATAGCCTTTTAGAACGTTTTATTAATTTGTTAATATTGTTTTTATAACGATATGTATTTTCATTCTTTTATACATTTAAGCAAATATCGTTATTTTGGTTCTATTTCGGTTTTTGTAATAGTTTTGTTCTTCTGAATTTAGGTATAAAACACATTTATTGATAAAATCAATAATTTTTTTTTTAACTCTGGCGAGAGTCGTAGATGGAGAGTTAGGCCAGATAGAACGTTCTCTCTGGTTAAGCGTAGTCAGGCTGCTGTAATGGCTATATATAATATAAGCAAATCTCATTTTTTTTATTACATTACGAAGATAAATGAAATGCAAATTGGAAATAATATCCATAATATAGCAAAATATTTAATGCATAAAAAAATCTAAGCTAACAAACATAACAGATATCATTTATTAACGTTTTATATTTACTGATTAAGTAGTTTACTCAACACTTCCTTTAGCTCGAGATCGAATTGTGAAACCGGAAGGGCCAGCTCTTGAGCCGATGAGGAAGTACTCCTGTCTTTGATGACGTAATCGGACGGTACCACGAATAGTTGTTTCTTTTCTCCAGCTGTCTCTTCCTGCTTCAAACATGGGGGCATCGGCAGATGCGGATGCTGCTGCAGCCAGTTCTGGAATGCCTTTGTAGACCTGTAAAATTTAAAGATACAGTTTACTTCTTACATATTAATTAATATCTATATTGTTATTCGTGTGCATATTAATTTAGTTCTGGTTGATTTTTAGGGCAATTTATGCCCTACAATAAAATTTGAAACTGTTGTTAGGTTATGATCTGTATCATTTAACTTGTTAACTATATTTATAATATAAATTTAAGTACCTATCTACAAACTATCCCAGTTTTAGAAATCCATTCGAGCTGTTTTTGTATTCTTTTTTTGTTGTTATATTTTTTTATTTACTCCATAAATATACCTCTACTATTCAAGCCTATTCTGCCGTTTCATTTTCTACTAACACCAAAGCACCGAACCCGTCACATCACGACTTTGCCTGCGTAAATTATAGCCATATGATCCGCGTATAATGTAGTTTCCCTTAGGCGAGAGAATTTTTATGATTGGATCAGTGTTTCTGAAGATAATTCCCAACGAACAAACAAAGTTAAAAAACATTACACCTTTACAATATTAATACACTGTGGCATTAGTATGAATTGAGTTATATATATCAAAGCTTTTGTCAATGTGAAAAATTGAGAATCAATTTTTACGTGAGATGCTGAATGTCCTCCCAAACGCAAGCCATTGAACGTAGATCCTCGGGAATCTCGAGACTGTGCCATATTTCCTTGGTGTTATTTCTCGGCGGTACATGTTTCATCTTTTGTGGCAAGCAAGTATTGAAGGCTGTCGTGTGAGCAGGACTGGTCTCGGCATGTATGTCATGAGCTATTTGCCTCTTAAGAACTCGTGGACATGACGCCTACACATAACAAAATAGTAATACAATTTAGCTTATGTCTCCAATATATTTCAGAGCTAATATGGCAATGTGACGTCGGTATTCTGATATGATGTTTTGGTGATCAATGAAAATGTCCATATTTATTTAGTGTTATTTTCTCCATTTATTACTATCGAAGTATTACTGTAAATAGTAGGTCATGATTTAAATAGTAACCTCATCTATTGGCAATGGCAAATTACATCACTATATCAAGTTTCATTAGATTTGTGAAAATGCAAGCTTCTGATAGTGGTTCGGAATATATAAACTATTTTAACTCATAAATATTTAACAAAAAAAAATCTAAAATCCATATAGCATTTAATTAGTTACATAAAACGTTACAATTTTCAATAGGAAAGATATAACAAAGATTGCCCAAATGCACATACGTTTTTCGCTACTATAGCACCGTATGTCGTCACTTAGTGCTTTGAATTTGTATGGAGCGTTTTGGGCTGACTAGCAGTACAGCATCATATCACCAAAACTATTAATCGCAAACATTCTGTTACTCGTACATTATTTCTCAGATGTTAATGGACTATTTATTTATAAAATTTAAAAAAGTTGCCAACTAGCGTATTAAATGATTTTATTATGACGTTTTCCAATTGAGTAGCCTCATAATGATAAGGATCGGTATAATTATTAATTGCTAGCACTTCCTCTAACTCTACCATTTTACCAAATCGATTTTCAAATAACATTCATTATTAAATTAGGGACAATTAACTTACGTGTGGTACGCCAACGTAATTAGCGATGCTTTGCAGGACACATGGTAGAATCTTCGGATCCAATACAAGGCCTCGAGATGCGTGTTCATCAAACCAAACCTAAGTCACAAATCTTATAACTACTATTGTATTTCTTGTTGCAAAACAATTACCATTTACCGGATTTGTTTTATGCTATATATTATATTTATTATAGATTTTATTTAGATATTATTATATTTAAACATATAGTATAAAACAAATTAGCTTTCCGTCTGTCCGCATGTATGCTTAGATCTTTAAAACTACACAACGGATTTTGATGTGTTTCTATTAAAAAAGGTAGGTTTCTGTGTATAATACAGGACTGCATGGGCGAACCGGCTGGCGGAAAAATAGTAACATAATAATATGAATTTACGAGTAAATATCAAAACCAAAATCTCTGTTTTTTTTATTATATTCCATTAGATAGAGATAAAGATTCGAATTTATATTAATTTTTCAACTTGGTTTCTCATAATTAAAGATATGGCAAAATACATGTCTACTGATAGCTGACACCATATATATTTACAGCACTTTTTATTTTACACCTCAATTACAATATATACCTGGAATAGATCTTCAATGTCTTCTGGACGTTTAATTTCGCTTTTGAATTCCACGATGCCAAGGGAAACCCACCAATCGTAAAAATCTTTGGAAATCTACAATAAGAAATGGATCAGGATAAGTATTATTTTCAATAATATATTAGCTAACAACCATTTTTTATAGTGAATAATTTTATGTAATTCTTATTATATAATATATAGAACTATGCAATTGATTGGCACTTTATATATATGGCTTTAGTTAACAGTGTGATCGGATAAGTAGTTACGGAAGAACGTTTAAAATACACTTGAGTAATATCTATAACCTACTATTAAAATTACTAAAGTGAATAGTTCCGTAAAAATGAAAACAAACTTTAAAAATGATTTAGGTTTATTTAAATATTGTGGGGTCTTGCCAATATATAATAGTGTGAGGCTTGCCGTATTGATTGATGAACATCACAATATAAATAAATTGATTTTCTATACGAGTACTAAGACATTGAGAAGGTTACAAAATTGAAATAAATATGTTTTACCTAAATTTAATAACTATTATGAAAAAAGAAACAGGAAATATTGAGTGAAATGACTGATGAATTTGTATCTTATTATGTGAATAAGCGGACCTATTATAAAAAATATTAAAAAAAATACTTTCTTGATATGAGTAATGATGATTACACTATATAATTTTTTGTTCTTATCTATTTCTAGGTAAGATTGATTGAATTTGCTTGGAGTACCTTCTATCGATTGCATTGTTGAATAATAAAATAGCGTAAATAATGAAATAGCGCTTTATTAACTTTAAAAAAATATTGTAATTACTTTAGAATGTTTGTATCTGAACTCCACCGCCACTGATAAACCCGAAAGGGCTTTTGTGCGCGCTTGATGATATAATTTTTTTTGCATGAAAAAATATGTATTTTTTGGGCAAATTAATAAATTAAAAATAAATAAACTAAAGAGCTACCCGTAGCAATTGCATAGCTATTTTACCCAGTACATTGCGATATGTATACTGAGTTATATATACGGCGACGATGAAATTGATATCAATTAATCCATAAACTTCGATTTATTCACTAAAATATATATTATCTTCCAAATTCAATGAGTCACCTGTTTGGTAATTATTTCAGCTTTCTTACTGAATTCGTCGGATGCTGAGACCTCAAAGGTCTTCTGTTTGTATTTAGATTTCCATTTTATCATATCTGTTTCAGATTCGTTACAATAGAGCATATCGAAGTGCGGATTGGCCATGCGTCTCATGTGATGTTTACTAGTGAAATAAAAATGGAGTCAATTCATTGATAAAAAGTTTGAATACAAATCTAGCATATTACCTCAAGTAATAATAAAAGTCACAGGTGATGTCTGTCGTTTTTTCAAATACAAGCCCGGAAAAAAATTACTCTTTCCAACTATATTAAATGAAAAGAGTAAAGATATCATTGGTTACCAAACTACTGGATCGATTTTTGTAGAAACATAATTATGTATTTGTGAAACTTTGAAAGAGTTTGTGTACGAGACATCCTTTACACGTGTCTACATTGTTTCTATGGAGAAGGTTAAATTATTTTTTTTATATCTTTTGTTAGGTGTCTATAATTAAAGAATTCTTTTCTTGAAAACTGAAAAATCGAAATTATAAATTCTTTGGATTACTCCCACAGGAGCAAGTTAAATGACTTAAACCTGTTAAATTTGCGCAGTTCATTATAAACTGAATCCTCAATGTGTTAAGGTTTAACATCAAGTTGCGAGCTAGTTTTGTATAACCTGACGTGCTGATGACTGTACACTCACATCCGGTACTTAGGACATCAGAATGGGTTTTTTTACCTTTTCGTAATTATGTTATTTTCTAGTTAATAAGCGATATGTTATCAGAGATCTATTCGTTGTTTAATTGTATTAAAGTGTACCGACAGCGGCTTATTTAATAATTAATCTATATTCAAATTGTAAAGAGTAAATATTTGACTGTTCGTTTATTTATTCGTTTGTGTGGTGTGTAGGCGCCAAAACTACTCGACTGATTTTTTAAATTCTTTCACCCACGGTAAGCTACATTTTACGGGTGAATTCGCAGGTAACAGCTAGTAGATAGTAAATTTATAACTGGATATTATTTATTTTTGTGAAAAAGCTATTCAAATGATTGATCCCGGCTATGGCTACCTCTAATATCATTATTCGACTTAAATATCGGACATCTAATAAATAATAAACTTACAATCTTCCTCGATGACTTACTGGATTCACTTTTACATCGTCATCGGAATACGCCGATTCGTCTGAACTTATAGTCCACACTTCCGATCTGGTGGTCTTGAACCTACTTGAGAATCGCTGTAGCGATTTCATTGATTTCGGCAAAACGTACTTCGAAACGCTCATACTGGAAATGATGTTTTTGGATTTTGATGCGTGGAAAGACTTGCTCATAGATTTGGACCGAGAAACTTGAATCATAATTGAAAATAATTAAGTATAATTATATGTTTCTATAACATTAAATGATGATCTAACGGAAATTTACACTTAATATATTTTTGTTAATTTTCAGAACTCGGACTAAAAACTATTTTTCGTAAAATATAGATCATGTTATCTGAAAATTGAAGCTAAAAGTAATTGCAAGTATCTGATTATAAATTGAATTATCAGTGACCATTCTTCAATTCTTGAGAATCGATGGATAAAACTGACGATACACTCCACTGTTCTGACTGTTCCTCAGACAATATCTCTTCTTCTACTGATAAATCGTAGTCACTCATAGAATACTTTGGCTGTGATTGCATCTGAAAAATTACGGTAATGCATCTCGCACGGTTAAAATTTTCGATCTTGGTGCCGATCGATATAAGTAGTTTTTATGATCTTGGACACTTCGGGAAGAGGAAGAATACGAAATGTTCGTGCTTCGACATATTGTAAAACAAAGGTTCTAGCGCAATCCACTAGTCAATGCTAGAAAAATAGTATTTGGGCATATATATATATATATATATATATATATATATATAAACTAGAAGCATTTTTAAAGAAAATAATAATTATTGCGGTCTTTAGTCTTCTAGAGTTCACCGTTTTAAAATTTATGTGATGTTACATAAACTGTCACGATTCTTCTGTTGATATCTTCAATATGGCTTTAAAATGTCCAATTATAGTAAGCATTTTAGAAGTTAGGAAATTATAATATAAAAATATTATAATTTCCTAACTTTTAAAAGGAGTATTTGCTTATTTCCTAAAATTAAAAACATACCAAAAGTTAAATCAAGTTTCTTTTCCACTAAGTTTTTCGCTTACCCGTGACATTGAAATATATGTGTAATATTGTTCAGAAGGCACTAGAGAAGTAATGTCCGATTTTGGTTCATATGTTGTGGCGTCAAGGGGCAAATTGAATATTTTAGCTAAACGTTGAAATATTATAGGGCCCACAAGCTCACGAACTGTATCACACTGCGACTCCCAAAACTAAAAGTAATATTAAATAGAAAAAAAAACATTAAAGAACTTTATAACAACCTGACTTAACTATACCATTATTAAAAGTATTAACAAATTTGCGTCAAATAAGTGAGAATATGTACCTTTTCAGGCAGACAGTTAGAGTTATTTTGGAGTTTGAAATATTATTACTTCTCATATTTAATCTATACTCATTTTATAAAGAGGAAATATTTCATTGTTTATTTGTATGTTTCTTAGTTTGTTTGTTGGCGTCGAATATGCTCCGAAACTACTGTCAAGATTTAAAAAAAAATTCAACTACGGGTAGCAATAACATACGGAGCCGACATAGGACTATAATTTAAGATAAGGGTGTTACAATCGTGCAAATATTACCTGGTCATCTTTATAAGACAACTCCAAGTCTCGAACAACTTTTTTCCAATGTTGCTTGACGGACGCCTCGTTCTGCTCATATCGGGAGGGGGTAATGACACGGATATTCCTGGGTTTGTTCCATTCCTTAACGAGGGGTCGTTTTCCACAAGGCATGATGGAAAATTAACAAATGCGTTATAATAACTTGTTTTCGTCGTTTTGAAAATTTTAGGTGATATAAAACACCTAACTACTTAAGTGAAGTTGCAAAAAGTAATAAAAATCGTTACGCGAAGGTTTACTTTTAAAATATCATCTCAAATTTATTTTCATGGTGACAGATGTCAAGCATGACTGAGCATCACGTTCTTCTGTGGTCTTTTCGTTTTTGTTATATCAGTAACGAGGTTGGATTTGTAGAGTAAATAGAAATTAAATAAATACCTTTGAAAACACAAGAAATTTACATGTCTTTATAATTTATTTTATTTTTGGAAAACAGAACAGAAAAAGAGGGAAAATCTCAGGAAAAACACATCATAATCACAAACGAGGCGGACTTACGCATAAATGGTTCCTCTCTAATATCAAACTAAAACTATGTTCTGTATTTGTTCAATATTCATATAACTATTTATATGCAAACTTAATATAAAGTATTTATTTCAAATTCACACAACAAACTCTTTATTTACATTCATATCTTCATTTATATGACAACTTAGATTATATATTCATATTATACTCGTATAATTAGCGAAACTTTAAAACCCATATTTAAAATTTATTTATTTATTTTTGCCTTTGGATCAACGACTTGTGCACCAAGTAAGTCAGTCGGGCCAGCACTAATAGAGAAAATCAGATATGATAGATGGGCGGACGAAGAGATAGACAAACATGCAATCCTATTAAAGGGTTTTGTTTTTCCTTTTGAGGTGCTGAATCCTAAAAAGCAAAACTTTGCTTTAACATAAGAATAATATTGTAATTGCGTTATATTCGCGCCGGAAACGGCTGCATGGGATATTCTCATTGCCTACCTTAAGGCTGGGAATCAAGACAAAAGATTTTCTCTGTCTACCTAAGGCTGGAATTTATGTCCAAAAGACTTTCTCTAGTTATACAGTAACTATTTTGAATTAATTACTCCTAAGCAGTTATGATAATTGTAAAAGTTATTCTTCGATGCACTTCATGCTAGCAACTAAGGAAATAATATTTTTATCAATTTTCCCAAGAATAAAGAACAACACAACAGCATAAAACAAATAAAAAGTAATAATTAGTAATGTTTTTCTTTTCTCATACAAGCTTATGACAAGGAATATCGTCCTTGTATTAAAGACTCGTTAGATTATAAATTTTGTGGATATTATAAATCTTAGATGAACGAACACGAGTGAGGTACTTTGATAGAATATGAATTTAAACGCCACCTAGAATATACAGGCACAATTCATTGTAGCTGAAGCATTACTCACTACAAGCAACTTTTCTTGTATTCAGTAAAAGCTTTGTTCCAACCCTTGCAACGTAATTTGTATAACATACGCTAGGTGGCGTTCACATGAAGTAATAAATGTTTGAACAATATTAAGTACTCAGGTAATATAAAAAATATATAAGATTTTTCCAATGAAAATTCTTTTATGTTTGCGCTTTTAGGCTTATTATTTATTATTATTTTTATTGTACTATATGATTATTTTAGTTCCACATTATTTAAACAAAACTAGGTACTGTCATAGATACACAATAATACCTACTGTGAAAACATTAATCTGATTTAAATACATTGTAATTATAGATGCAAATTATTCTATCATTCATGTAGGTATTTGTACAGTTACACATTCACTTTTTTCCTAGGCTTTCCGCATCTTCAAATGTGTCAGGAACTTTCAGGTTCAATGTTTCTGGCTGCGTGAGGACGAGTAGTGCAGACATTACAGCCATTCCTCCAAACATTATTGACGGTATCCCGCTCCAATAAACCATTAATGGTGGTGTCAAGGGTGAAATCACAGATCCAATACGTCCTAACATAGAAGAGAAACCCAAAAATGAGTGCCGATGTCTCGTTGGATACAATTCAGCAGTATACAAATAAACCGATGTCATTACCAGCCCAATAAAGTATTTTCCGGCTAAAAATAAAATTAACGATAACGCGTACATATTCTTTGGAGTGAAAGCGAATCCCAGACAACAGAGTCCACACGCTGTGTATCCCGTAAACAAGGTTGTTTTGCGACCGATTCTATCCAATATCAACACTGCAGTCCAAAATCCCGGAATTTCAATTGCAGCAGTAGCTATGTAGTTCAAATACATGTCGCCCGACAAACTGACGGAGTTAATTGATAAGCCATAATAAATAAACGTGGTAGTTATCCACAAGAATGGCGTCGTGCAACATCTACGTAACATTGTTGGTGATTTTAATACTTTGATGAAAAGATTTTCTCCATGATTTTCTGTCCTATTTGACACAATTTGTTCTGGTATAGCTTGTATTAAATAATTCATAGTTTTATCAGAAACAATTCTACCGTTAAATTTAGCTGCCTTATCAATGGTGGACCTTGCTTCTTCTTGTTTATTTCTGCTTAGTAACCATCGTGGACTTTCGGTAATGAGCCATTTATATATAACCAGAAGAAAAACAGGTGTGAATAAAACTAAACTCAGGTGTCGCCATTCGTATATTTGCGATGCGATGATACCCAGTAAAACCTGACCTATAGCGAACATTGAAGACATTGTTGCACTCGTTATTACACGGAATTTAGGGCCAACTATTTCTGTTGCTAATATGTAAGCAGCACTAAAAGTACCTCCACCTAAAGCCGTTTGTATAAATTGTAGAGCTGCATACATTGCGTAGTTGATAGAAAAGGACCGTATAAATCCTGCTAGTGCCAAATTAAATGAGAAAAATATTAAAGATGCTCGTCTTCCAAAATGATCTGATATAAATCCTGCAAGGGGTAGAGCAATCATAGCACCCATGCTGTTGAGCGTACCTGCTAGAGCCCTGAGCCATTCTTCACATTCTAGATTAAAATCGTATACAATGGAATTGGTCCTGAGATAAACGTATTTTTCACACGGTATTATCACATCTTGGTCGAATATATCACTGGGGCACAACCCCTCTGTAAGGTGCATTCCTAAAAATGACGAATTGTAGGCATAACGGTGACATTCGTCGAAACCTGAGGACGTTATCGGTATGGCATTGTTTAACCAAGACGGCGAAAATGTAATCGAGTCTCCTTCGCATTCAGTTATAAAACATCGATGTGGAAGTCGCGATGCAGAAAATATGTACTCCCCAGCCATAAAGCCAGACACAGCCGTTGGAACGGCCAATAGTAAAATATTGATAATTTGGTATTTCCCAAAGGCACCCATTTCACCATATAAAACACTTTCGAACTCCATTTTGTTATTTTACACTTTCACTTTAAAGACTAGGTAATTTAGTCAGCGTATACTTTCTTTAAATATCACCTAAACACAATGTCATAGTCGCTAGAACAAATCAACTATTTAACACAAGTAGTGTTTAGACGACAGCTTATCTGATGTTTTATTGCATCTGTTGATAATGTGTGTCTAAATAAATATCGACTCTGCCAATAACATATTCGAGAAGAAACAGGTTTATCAATTTATTTCAGAACAATAAAATTTATTTCTTGAATACACTTATTTTATTACACACTTCGATAACAATTCGTGTCTGAAGTCTTTATTATGTTTGAACGAGAATGAACTTTGCACATACGGTTAATTATAGTGTGTTATATTAATACAATGTCAATAGTCGAAAACATTACTTCATTTAGCAATGAAATCTCTACATATCTAAAAATTTATACATACATAAAATGGTCAATAACTTTTTCTTGTGTTAAAATAAAGAATCACGTAGCTGAATATTTAAAAATTATGTGAATCAATTAATAATCCTTATATGCCAAAGCAGATTGATATTAGAAGCATTTTTATAGAAATATTTTAGGTATTGATTGGTTTACTACATATAACTTCTTTGAATATCTTATCACGATTGTAGAAGTTGATAAAACATATCTATACAATGTCATTAATAGATCAGACATATATAGTTAAAGATAGAAACTAGATCACAGCGTTCTAATTTTGATAATCTTACGTATGCTTAGTTAATTATAACTTTGATCTCTAATAAAATACACCAATCTTTTAACGAGTATATAGTATAAAATAAAGTCGCTTCTCACTGTCTGTATGCTTATATTTTTTAAACTACATATATTAATTCGGTTTTCATCATTAGACATGTTTATTATTTATGTATGTATAATACAGGACCACGCCGGTGACCGCTGGCGGAAAGCTAATAAAATAAATTAATGTCCTGGTTTAGACATAATAAAACATTTAAAAAATAAGGCAGCGAACAGTGTAATGTCTTCTCTTCCACTTTTATCTCTATTTTCGTATATATCTCATATAAATATTATTTAAAAAACTATCTAGTTATAAAACGAATACCATCTTGGGCAATAGTAGTAATTTCTTTATGATTATTCAAATGTATTAATTAATTTTGTTTATTAAATTTCAGAATGTTTAATTGGCGTCAGCCAGTTCTGATAAACGTCTTCTTATGTCATCTATAGGCGCTGGGGCTACGTCTGGTGAAGCTTGAGGAGGCGGGGACGATGACGCTTCGAAGGTGAGCCGCGCCTCCAGTACAGCTGGGTCGAACATGCCCAGACTAGTCAAGTATGGAGCACGCCTGTGCTCAGGATGGTCTATCATCCAGCGGCAGTATTCCTTCACGCTTCTGTATATATAAAAATTAAAATATCTATACTAATATCCTACAGAGATTAAGTTTATTTGGGTAGTCAATACCCATTACCCAAGGTAGTAACACCCAATGTAGATATTAAATGTTTATAAGCACAACGTAGTAGACAATAATAAAATTTTCTTTTAAGAAAAATAGTTGTTTAAAAGGCGTCGTTTAAATAAAACAAAATAATAGCTTTCTCAGCGAATCCTTATATTTGAAATTTTTATTTTGAGAATGCTTAAAGTTGTCTAGTCCGTTATTTTGATTTGGTGAACATACATTTTAAGAAATAAAAGCTTGAAATAAAAGTTTGTAATTGTTATATCCTAAATAAATTGAATAATGTATATAAGATATGTATATTTTCTTTTTAACATTTCTTTCGGCTGTTTGGGTAGATGCCTGAACATTGATGAGAATACGCTCTGTAGTAGCGAAAAGTAACAAGTGCTTGAAAGATTCGTCAGTCCTGTCTGTTAGGTCCTGGGTAGCTCAGTGGTTAGAGCAGTCGCCCGGATTGCGAAAGGTCGTGTTCTCAGGGTGCCAGGGACCAAGTGGATTTTTTTCGCATTTTGTATTAAGTATAAGATATGTGTTAGAAAAATTTGAGCAATAATTCTCAATAATATAAAGAGTTATAGATTACTGCTTTGATATTTTGATATTTGCAAAGGTACCTTAAGTTGGTGATGCCTTCCCATACAGTCTTTAGGGTGACCAGGTCTCTAGGAACATGTCGGGCTGATCGCCACAACTCCTTGGTATCATTCTTGGGAGCTCGCCATCGATCCCCAAGCGGAAGGCTTTTACCAAACGCTAGTATTTTATCGGGACGTTTCTCAGCTATAATATCCCGTGTTATCTCTCGTTCCAATGCTGCTAATTTGGCTTTCTGAAAAAAAAACGTATAAGGTAGTTTTTAGTGTAGATAGATTGCGATTTATCTTAATTATAAGTTGGCTGTAGGATGGATACATATATTAATTACAAAAAAAAAATAATATTTCAAAGCAAAACAAAAATCGAAAGACTACATCCATACAAATACACCAATAATAAAAAACAAAATCTCGAGAAATTAAAACTACTGTATATTTTATTATTGTAAGAAGTTTGCAAGGTTGGTTAATATTTGAGTGTCCTTAAATGTCCTACTACGATAGCTAACCATTTCCACATTTGAATTTGCAAAACCTGTATCGCCCCCAATAAAATTCACATGCGCAGGTGCTATGAAATTTCGAGTCTTAGCCGGTGATAAGCATTATAAGGTGTGACTCCTGAGGATATTGGTAGAGCGTCAAAATACGTGTGTGGATTGGTAAATGGTGATGATTGCGAGATTTATTGCAGCTCGCAGATACTGTATGGGTGTGGAAATTTGCTAGACATCGTCGTTCATAGTTATAGCAATGGACTTCCGCAAGGTAACGCCTGATACTATTATAAGTGTTAAATTGTAATTTTACCTCTGGGAAACCGGACATTTCAGCTATTCTATCCTCAACACACGGCAGTTCTTTTGGCACCACACTGATACCTCTTGCCACATGCGTATCGAATTCGATCTAAAAATTAAAGAAAAGGAGTTTTCAGTAACTTTAAACAGAATTTATTGTACTCCCTATTAGCAGATATTTTCGATGTACTCATAAGGTTAATTAATAATTAAATAAACGTCTCAGTGTTGGAGATTCAACTGGTTCATTTATTACCTTAGAAACGTGTGTCATAAAGACACTACAAAAACATGGGAGCAGAGCTATCTGTATTTATTAATGGTAATAAAATTGTGATTAGAAACACTTTTTGAACGCCAAAGATAATATAATATTTGTAAATACCATTTTTGGATTTGGGCGATACTGTTACCGTAGTTGTGTTTGATTTCTACATACAAATGATTTTAACTACGTATACGATAACATATTTATTAAATTGAACAATTTATATGTAATAAAAACTTATTGAAACTGTTTATTTATTTAAAGTTTAATATTAAGATAATTGATCATCGTTACATTAAGTTGTAATTAATTTTTATATGATATCATTATTAAAGTCACTACATCCACAACAGTTGATTAAGTTAGAATATACCAGTATGCTATTCTGTAAAAAAAGTGCATCGATGTCAATATTGAATTCAATGCTATCATAGCTTAGAGTTTCCTCAATGAAAAACAACTTCAAAAGCCAATTAAAGTTTAATTTAATTAAGAACCTCTTTGGTGTGACAGTGATGTGCTTGAGGTTGCGTTGGACAATGATTTTCTTACAGACTAGCAAATCAGATTCTGCTACTTGTTGTACATAAGCAATGAATAATAATAAGATAGAAGAAATAAGAATATATTTAAGGGGAGGTTTAAAAATACAATTAAAAGACAAATAACTCCATGATTGCCACTTTAAATGGAAGTAGGATTATTTAGAAAGACATAATAAATATAAAAAGATTTAAAGGAAATCGAACAAAAATTATTTCAACTATAAAACTGCACATCAAACAAAATTCTTTACAGCATACTTGAAATAGTTCCTTGATAGCTTTCGGCGTGAACAGCTGCGACTGTTGGTTACCGCCCAACTCTTTCATGTATTTGCAAAACTCAGTTGCAATCTGAAAATATTTCATTTTTCAATATCTTGGATCAACAAATTTTATGGAGTGAAACTTTGAGAATCTAATTATATTAAGAGGTCGTTATAAACAATGATATCATTTTATAATATGCTTTCCTCGTGGATCATATATAAGGTTTTTTCTTGCTATTCTGTTATAAAAAAAAGTCACGAACTCGATGTCGAGCGCAGCTCTGTCATAGCATTCATAGTTCAATCAATTAAAACTTACTTAAAAAGGTAATAAAAGATCAATATCATTGAAGGTCTATACTGTCGCAGCGCTTAGCACGACCTCAAGGCCATTATATTATATTTCTTTTAAATATGCTTTATTAATTTTATGAGCTATTTTATTTATCATTTAGTTAATTAATTTAAATAACAAACTGTAATGAGTAAGTCGAATTAGTTTCATAAAATGTATATTTTAATGATATTTGGACTTACAGATGAAAACCTATTCCATTTAATCGAAAACGAAAATTCGTCTGTTTTCAAAATGCTAATACAACTCCAAAGAAACGCATTTTTTCGATAATATCACGCAAAGGAGGTAAGCCCTGGCACTCCATCTGATGCAAATATAACCCTCACGATTATGATTTTAAAAAGATTATAAGAACGAGTCAAAATTTCTTAACTTTCGTGCGAGAAACATAAACAAATCCAACCTTGTCTGTGAGGTCATCAGCTTTCCTTATAAGTGTTTTGTCTTCCTCTTTCTCAGGCTGCAGATAATGCGAGGGCCAAGTTACCTGTTCCCGCTCTGGTTTGCTCAAAAGTTGCATATGAATATTAGCGCTTTCATCACCTTCATTATCATCATCATCATCGCTAAATAAAAGATAATAATAACACTTAATCAAAATGAACTTTTAAATTTATATTAACCAGCTTTAAAAAGCTATCAGAATAATATATTTACAAAATAATGAGCAATTTTTTCCAGAACTAAAACAGGTGATTGGTTGAATGAAAGCAGTTGTAAAAGGATTTGATAATTATGTTATTCTACCTCGGTTCAAATTCTACGTCAGTATCCGATTCTAATTCGCGATTAATATACAAACATTTTCTGTAAGACAACATGGGTTCTTTCACTTGTCTCCTTGCAGGTTTCCCTAAAAATCAATTAACAATAACTTTTTATATTTGATAGGATTTAATAACATTTGATAACGCTAAATACTGCTTATTATAAGACTGTGCATATTTAAACATTATATATAATTTGAAAATGAAAACAAACCTTTGGATCTGATCGCGGCTTCATCTTCACTATTAAAGGCCACAGGCATATTTAAAGTGATGCAAACTTTTTGATATAGATTATTAGGAAGAACTTTTGAGATACTTTTGCTTTCCTGAATCTATTAGAAAAAAAGTAATTTTTGGACATTTTTTGATAACAAACGGTGTTCTATTTGTTTAATTAATATACTAAATAAAATAATAATAAAAAAAAACTTTCTGTGCAGTTTACTCTATAGTAGTTAATTTGAAAAAAAATAAATATTCTACTTACAGCGTCAGAAGCATTAGCTTCTATTTCATTAAAGACGCTTCTCCAATATTTTCGGTTTGTGTTTATAGCTTCAGCTGCTTCAAACTTGGAAGGATTAATTTTCATTATTTTACGTGGTTTTCTGTTACTTTTACTTTTATCTAGGTCTTCATCTTGGTCCATTATTTATAGAAGAAAGATAAGAAATGTTAAGAAATAGATTGAATGTTGTTTGCCCCGCACCCGAAGCAACCACGAAGTTAGTAACTGATTTTGGTATAAAACTAGCGTGCCATGGTCGCATAGAGTTATGAAAGTATAGAATCGATAACTAATCGCACCACAATAATGGATAAGAGTGTCGTGTCATATTTATTTTATTCTTGTAGAATATTTATTTCATTCTTGTAGAATGAAATAAACATGACTCAATGAAACTATTTTTATAGTATTTAAATAATTTTTGTTAGTACAATGTATCGTGTAAACTTGTCTAAGGTATATTATTGTTGTTGTTGTTAAAATGCGCATACTATGTACGACAATTACTTTGATATCAACGGTACTTGACGTATTTCAAAAATATCTACGAACGGATACAATATCTTCATATTTTAAACAACATATTAGAGGATGTTATATTTATTTGTTTTCTTATGTCTATGGTTTGTTAGTATAGAACGCTTACGTTACCATGCCATGGAACACAGTTGAAATAGGATCAGTATATTAATATTAATACATATTACATTACCGTAAATTTTGATTTTTAATATGTAAAAAGCATAATTTATCGTTTACTTTGATGAATTATCCATTGATGTTACAGTTATATATAAGATATATTTAAGTTGTTATACAATTTTTAATATAATATACGTTATTAATTTTATGAAATCAGAGCCACCATAAGCAAGTATAAGAGTTATATACATCAACAAAAATTAAGATCCAAAGTTACACTTCAATTTTTAATCTGATAAAAATAAACGTGTGTATATCTCATTCTTTCAAGCTTTTTAGAGTACCTACTAAACGATCAGTTGATGAAAAATTTATGTTGTCGACTGTACTAATAATAAACACAATTTATTTTGTTTAATATACGTAGTTCATTTCACCTCTGTTTTCTCGTCACCATGGGCAGATAATGGTTGCAGGGCGTAATGTTTGATCAATACTTGAAAATTTCCACAGTTAAAGAACTATCATTAAGGTTCATATTCAGGGCTCATAAAACAAGCTAGAATTTGTTAAAGTAGGTAGATGATGAGCCAAATTATTATTTCACAGGCCCAGTATTTTTTTCTAAATAAACATAATGAAAGTTGATTTTAATAATGAATATAAAAGCTTACAATATTTTAACAAAAATTAATCATGCGTTGTCTAGTTGTCCCTTTAATAGATACGTTGAAAGCCCATTATAGTGCTGATATAAATTATGACGCAATCCGTTCATTAGTTAATTTAAGCATAAAAGTTCACAATTTTTAATAGCAAAGAAAAGGCAAATAGAGCATTCATTAAGTGGTGGGCGAGTTTATTCAGACATCGCAGTTGTGTCAGATTTCACGGGAACCGCGCTTAACACAATATTATGGCGGAATGGAACGTCAAGTTGGCATAACACTGTTTAACTTTTGCCGCTCTGTATAAAGCGGAATGCGTGGTTATGCCTTTGCCAATGTTTGACTAGTTCATTTATATTGATATTCAGGATTGTGTATGGCTATCACATGAATATAATATAAAGATCAGCACATTGATCAGCTAGATCGGCCTACAATGTTGAGGTTAAGCAGCTTTCCTAAGGAGTCATTTGATGGGTGATAAAAAATTTGCCATCTCGCACTTTTTCGTGCTTCAGCACGATAAGCTATTTGTCTGATTGCATCTGCAGTCGTTTACAACCGCCAAGCCGCACTCGTCCCGCATAGTGGATTAAAGCCCGGTCTCTAATTAATTCCATTTATAGAAAAGATCTTTGCGGGGATATAAATGGGATGATAAATCAATAATGCGTCTACACATCGAATTTCTAATAATTAACTATCATAAATGCGAAAGTTTATGTGGATGTATGTATATTTATTACTCTTTATAATATAGTGATATAAGCAAAGTCGCGGCAAAACAGCCAGTAGTATAATAAAGAAGTATTACTTGATTGTTTGCGTTGAATAGGTTTTAAAAGTACTGTTACATCATACGCGGACACCATAGAAAACCCAACAACCCATCCTTATGTAATTTAGATCTAGTAAAAATTGTATCTTGCTTATGTATGTAATTAGTGTCAAAAAGCGGAGCGACTCATCCGCGCAGATAAACCTCACAAGCTTTCGTGTCGGTATATGAATGTGCAATGAATAATAATTTTTAGAATAATTTAAATATAATTTAAATTATTCTATAGACTAATAGAGTTGTATTTAATAATCTATTTATATTTTGTCGTGGGAAAACAATTTTTTTTTTACTTTTCATAAATTTTCATCAAAACTTTCAGTAACTTTCAATTCTCAAACCAATGTGTCAACTATACTTACAGTAGTTAAGCAAGAAGTAATAAGACTTAAAAGTGATTACTCCGGGTAGCATTACACCTTAGGAGAGCGGTATTCGAGTAATTAAATAAGAGATAACAATAAATGCTTGTCAATTAACACGAGGAGTCGGTGCAGGAATGTCATAAGTTGTCTCTAATGCGGCAACGAGACGGTGACGACTTAATAAGTTAACTTGTTACCGTACTGTGTAAATTTACCTCTACGCCCGTGTTTTACCCTCACCCATCCCCACATTATTCTTAGCTAACGGTGTAATTTATCTTATTGTGCAGCAAAAGTGTAAGCAATATGAAGATTTTAATTGCTGATTCCTTTATTGGATTTTCTCGTTAATAATAGTGGAATATAAAGTGAAATTCTATTGTTTCAAATACATCCATTATTTATTTAGATTATTAAGTAACATTAGATGCAACTTATTGGTCTTTTGATATATTTACAACTTAGTGACATATTTATTTTTTACCTACCTTAATTTTCGAGCAGAGGTAAGAGTACTTTTAATTAAATTTGTATTGCGTAAAGTATTTTTTTCAATATTGTAACTGTCACTCAACGAGTTTACAGAAAACTCTTTGATCGACAGTAAAATACTCTTGAATAAAAATATTTTTAAAATAAAACAAAAAGTGGTGTTTTGGCATTTTGATAGAATGCATGCATGAAAAGTTTTATCAATATTATTTTTGAAATTCTGGAATTGTGAAATTACAATTTACCTGAGAAACAATAGTTATCACCATCATCATCACCAGCTTATTCACGTCTTCACTACTGGGGCTCAGGCCTTTCTTATGGATGGAATAGAATGAATCCGAATAAAGAGAATTCTTTCTATTATTAAATCTCCATGGATAAGGTTAGTTATTTAGCCAAATGTACATATTTAGTAACCACGTCATCCTGCTCATTCTGTTTGGGATAGCACCTATTCTGTAGAGTTGGATAACAAATTAATTCAACTAATCTATCTGGTGCGTGAATACGAAATGGTCATATACGAGATATTTTATTTTAAATTCATGATATACGTATTACAAAGAGAAAAATATAATAGAGTTGTATTTAATAAAGATAAATGCAAAATTTCAAAATCACATCTGAAACGCATTTTCTAAAATACGAAATCGAAACATTCATCCGTGAACATTTTAAGAAGTTTAGGATTGTTCTGTATTACATCTATTATAGACTGTTTACGCTTGCTTAGTAGTTCTTGTAAGTCTTCACTTTTATTTACTTTGACATTATCTCGTGAAGATGACGTTTTATGAAGACGGCCACTTACACAGGAACACGTTATATTAGTAATATTTAAATCTTCTTGGCTTGAATACTGTGTTTCTACAGTATGGTAAAGTTCCTTAGTCGCAGAAAATGGTAATTCAGCTTTCACTAGTTTCATGGGGTCGATAAGTTTAGGTGGAGGTTCAATAGTTGTGGACCCACCAAGAATAGTTTTTACTCTTTCAAAATTTTCTTCACTGAAATCTAAATAAGAATCAAGGTAGGGGAAAGTATAGCTTTTTGCCCAATCTTGACAGTTTCTTGCTGGACAATCTTGAAGTCGTTGAATATCATTAATCAACAGAGGTTCTTCAGAAGATATGCTTTCTGGCGGTGTACTATGTGTTTTCGCAGGTGGAGAATCACTTAATTCTCCACTTTCAGATTGTTGTGGCATGGTTTGTACGTCATGACATTTACATCGTTGAGACTCTAAAAAAGCTTTAATTTGTTCATATTTATGACATTTTGCATATACGAATTGTCTTTGTACCCTAAAATACGGTAAATCAACATCAGTAGCCAAAGTTTCACTACTTCCATATTTTGGTGGGGTTGGGTCATTTAAATCTCCTACAATTACAAAAGGCTCGTTGTCGCAAGTTTTTTCTTCAACCCTTGGCTCTTCAAATTGAAATATATTGTTGACATCATTTTCATCTATCAGTATAGTTGATACATTTTGAGGTTTCTTTTGAAATTCATTAATTTGCAAAACTACCATTTTTTCTAGATCAAGTAAAAATGTGGATTGTTCCGGTATTAATTTCAAACTAAAACTAATGAATTTTAAAAATAACTGTAGCACATTTCTTATCTTGTTTTCCCAGGCATTATTTATAAGGCTAATTTTCATATCTCTATTTCTAAATGCCTCTAACACACTTTCTTGCTCTTTAATCTTTTTTATTTTTTCCGATAAATCTGTAGTTTGATAGTTTTCTAATAAAAACTGTTTTATTTTACACTTTTTTCTTTCAGCGCACATGACGTACATCGTACCCGTTAAATTTTCTGCTTCTATCTGTCTATAAAATGAAAGCAAGGCATCGTTTCTTTCAAATAATGCATTATTTGTTAAGGTGTTTTGTCTTTGCAACTCATTGTCTAAAAGAATTTTATAATATATTTGTATTTTATTTACTTCACTCTCATACCGATCTTTTAGAATATTTTCCAAAATGGTTCTTTCTTTGATCAATTTTTGCCTGATCTCAAAGTTTAAATCGCTTATTATACCAGCATGGACACTAACAAGGATAATTTCTATTTCTGATTTTACATTATCTTCTAATTTCTTTAGAGATTTCTCAAAAAAATTAGACATTTCCTTACTCATAATTTTGCTTTTTTCAAGAAAGATATTATGATAAATATTCCTCACTTTCGCTTCGACTAACTTTTTCTCAGCATCTAGAATATGAATCCAACCACTATCATTATCATTAATTAATTCTGTCAAATGTTGTAGAAACGCAGCACGTTTTCTTTTAAAAATGTTATCTCCAATAGTTAAAATGCCTTCATGAGTTTTTCCTCTTGTAATTTTGGATGTAAATGGCGGTTTTAGCTCTATCACACCAATCAACAAATCACTTGGTGATATCCAGGTATCATCGTTATCCGTCTGGATAACATTTTCTAATTTTTCATAATCAGATTTTTCAAAATCACAGTAGTCATCATCTAAATAAATTTCCGCATAAGTGCTTGTTACTCTTTCTTTTTTATGTATGTTGCTGTTACTGCTTTGCATTTTATTCAATTTATTTTTAATATGTAAGCAGTCTTTTACATAATAATATTATAAAATAAATCTGAATTAATATGTCATTTTGCAAATAAAAAAAACAGTCTACTCCTTGGTTTAGCCACCAAGTGCGCCAAAGCATCAAATCAAAGAGAATTGATTTTTTATTAAACCTTTGTTCACATAGGTATATCAGTGACATATCAGTTTCGGTATAATTCCGTATCAGTAATTATTTTATATCATTTATTATCTATGAACGCATCTAAAATCTGAGTCTACATCATGAGAGTCAGTGAGGTATGAATGATCTTAGTGTCGGTGCTGTACTGGCTATCACTTTTGTGATCGCTAATAAACAAGCGACGACGCATTTCTTTGTTTTATTGTGGACGCCGTTTAGAAATTTATAGTAATTTAATTTTATTTAATTTTATAGTGCATGAAGCGCAACACTTTTTTTATGATGCAGATCCTTTACTTAATTTGTTACAGTAATCGCTATAATTGCTAGATCAATGTTAAATTTACTCACGTTTTCCCTAATCATCATCGAAGCACGAATGAACCTGTACCGGTACTGTGCCGCTTACGGCTGTCTATACACTGAGATTTTTTTAACTACACAATGGTATTTAATTCAATTTTCATCAATATACAGAGTGATGAGGAAGGTTGTCAGCGTGATTAACATGTGTACTCATGGCAAATTACAACTCTCTAGTGCCAATAGTTTTTGAGCTAAGCCACGGACGGACCGACGGACAGACATACGGCTATAGCGAAATTATAAGAACTTGATTGGATTGGATAAAGGATTGATTACGGAACCATAAAAAAAATATGTTTGAGAGTCAATATATTCTATAAATATAGTGAAAAAGAAGAAATAAACTTGTCGAACTCTGTGAGCGAATGGTTCGCACATGAGTAGGTGCATGCTTTCGCCAGGGGTTTCTCATTCAATTTCCGATCGGTTAAATGTAGAAAATAATCATCTCTAAATTATCTCGGGTCTGGATGTTATGATACTTATGTTATTTCAGATTTCCAAACTAGAGCTTTAACTTGGTTTTGAATCTGAATAATGTTAAAAAAAACAATACAGCACGGTAATCTTTTTCTGGACACTAACAAAACACAGGTTCAGTAGGCACTTTGGCATTCTAAGAGGCGAACGTGTCGACAGCCTACCTGTGATTAGCGGTGGTGATGTAAAGCGAGCTCGCCGGGTGGCGGTAGATTTAATTAAATACTTCCTTGAACCACCCACCTAGTATTTCACCTCATGCACCTTACCTCACCTTATCTTACCCCGAAGCGAACCCTGTTAACATTTTTCATGTCGGGTATAGTGAAGTTAGATTATTGCAGCCGCATTACCTCAGTGGAACGTCCATTTTGCAATATTTGCGGCAAAAACAGTCGATCCAGTAGTTCGGTGCTCCAAGCGGGAGCATGTGATAATAAATTACGGACATATCTCGACTCCATTCTCATTACGGATGCGGCAATGTCCGTCGGAGTTTTGTCATAACTCAGTCTCGGTTGAAATTATTTCCGTTGGGTCTGATGAGAAAACTAGAGGTGGAGAACTCGAAATGTAAGTATTCGCGCAACAAGCCTTGGAATAACGACGGGACATATTTCATTCTTAACGAAGTTAAATTTCCGGGAAGGCCCTGTAAGAGCGTGCGTAACTCTGATAAAAGGCTACCTCGCTACAATACCGATTTTGTATTTGCCTAAGCGTTTAGTGATGGTTACAATGCATAAAAACGTAACTTACCGAATCATTTATTGGAACGTCATTAACATGGCATGTGATAAATCATATGAAAAACAGGTAATAAATATATTAAAAAAAATATTGTATTTTATTAGTTACAAAAGAAAACCAATCCAGGTGAAAACTTGTAGGTAGGGTGAAGGGTATTGTTATCAGTACAGTGATAAAGTATTTAACTATTGAACTATACAAACAAATATAATACTATGTATAAGAAAAAATATATTGTTAAAATATTAATGCTACAAAAAAGAGTATATATTTAACACAAAAAATATCGTAAATACAATCGTATCGATATAGTCATTTATCCCAAAGTTCCACCGTTTGACGTGCTCCCGTTAAAACAACAAACATAATTCAGAAACTGGCAACAAGTTGGATTGTTTTCCACACATCATATCGGCAAATAAATCTTTTGGCCGCTTATCTTTTGGACGTCAAAGTTAATTCCTATGTATAATTCATCGCGTCGATACCGCGAGAGAAAACTTTCTGGACACCACAAGCCCTCTAAAACTGACGTGAGCCTTACGACGGTCGAAACTCAGACAGTTTATGTGATACATTTTTTTTTTGTTCGATGTGTTGAGACGTATTTTGACAGTAATAGACGATATATTACTAGGTACTGAATGAGATAAGAATTAGTATTTTAGTGAGTAACCGTCATTAGTTTATACTCTCGCTTTATAGCGACATTATCGATACAAATTTTCAGATTCGTCAGTCCTGTTAGGTTCTGAGTAGCTCGGTGGTTAGAGCAGTCACCCGAATTACGAAAGGTCATGTGTTCGAATCCCATCTCAGGGTGTCAGGAACCAAGTGGATTTTTTAAGCATTCTTCAGTAAGAATATTTTTCAGTATAGCATTGTGAATGCAAAATTGATCAAATATAATAAATAATCTATAAGTATTTTAAATTATCATCATCGTTTACGTCCCCACTGCAGGGGCTCAGGCCTTCCTTATTGATGGTTAAGGAGGGTGGGCCATGACTCTCCACGCTGGCTCAATGCAGATTGGTGAGTATTAACGTCTGCAAGTGCAGCCGGGACCAACGGCTTAACGTGCCTTCCGAAGCATGAAGTAACTCGAGATGATAATTTTTTGGTCACCCATCCCGTGACCGACCCTTGTGAAAGTTGCTTAACAACAACGATCGCGGGCCGCGGCGCTTATCCTCTACGCCACCGAGCTATTTATAGTATTTTAGCCAATATTATATACATTCATTCAGCGGCCGCGTGACGTGGACAATGTTTACTGCTATTCACAGTCTCCCGTTGCGAAAGTCTCGTGCTTGTGAATTGGAAATAAGTTTAAGGAAGAAAAAAACAAAAATGATATTTATTTATATAGAATTAAATAAATAAAATGTATCAAATAGTTAAAATAAATGTTTTATATTCTAGAAATGACTTCGACAATGGTTTGCTTTTGACGTCTCAAGTATAGAGTATTAGAGAATGTATACTTGAGAAGCCAAGAAGAGGCATTGTCACACACACACATTATCAATATTAAATATAGATCTTGTGCCGTGGCTAGATTTCAATAAAAAACAAACAAGCTGCTATTCAGGTCTGGATAACTTCAGTTCATAGTTTCCTTAATATCATTCGTTGAAATAAAGCTTAATAAATTATTTCATTGAATAAGAGTTACAGCTACATCGTTTAGCGACAGCATTGATTGTATGAACCTTCCGTTGTACGTCCGCTCAGTTATTGCCAGCGTAGTACGTGTTATTGCCCATAGACACGACACGAGAAGGTGTTGCTTATAATTTCGCCGGAGTAAGATTGCGCCGTAATGCCAGCTAAGGGCCCCCTCAATTGCTGTATTTCCTTAATAGTCTACATTTACCCCCGTCGACAATTTGTGACGAGACGTGAACTAAATTGTCGCCTAGAGGAAATAAACTAATTTACTTATGTATGGCGTTCATAACTAAAGCACGCCTTGAGATTCAGACTGGCTATTGAAGAGAGTAATAGATATTATTATTCACGGTTTTTGTTTCCTTTTAGCACTATTTCTTGTTTGTTAATGAAAAAGTTCCGAATGTTATTTTTAAATATTTTATAATTTATCGTAACTTTAATAAAATTTTGTATTAGAAAGTAAACTTAATAGTAATAAGCAGAGAAGTTTTTAAACCTTTGTTACCTTTAAAATTTAGTCTTATTCACAAAAATATATTTATCAGAAATATTTCTGTGGTTTTTTTTATTGAACCTATAGAGATTAAAGCACAGCGCTGTGATCGACGTAGAGTTTCACGCAATTTTTTTTTACAAAATTAACAATACTGAGTTAGATTTTCTAAATTGAATGTAAAAATACATACAAAATTTCAGTACACAAGAAATTAATTCCATAATGTTATTAGTACGAATTTCGGATAATTTATTATATTGAATTCTGATTTCGCTCTCACCATAAACAGAATATCATATCAATTGAGTATAATAATTGACAATGCAAAGCGTCTGATAACAGTAGTACAGTAGGTAATATTAAAACATTTTGTAAATTATATTTTAATTTTAATAAATAGAAATAACAAGTTTCCATATTGTTTGACAACATTTTTATATCAGGGAAAAACTATAATATTTTGTATTCATTAAAAATCTGAAAGGAGGAATTTCTAAGTTTAATGCCTATGTATTTTTTAATTTAAGAAGCTATATTCACTGATTTCTTCGTGCATTGAGAAGCAACTTTTAAATTAGCTGTTTTCTCATGACTTCGCTCATGAAAATTATAGCCTATATCCCAGCTGTTTATTTTTTAAAATCGTTCCGTACTGGAACTCCGAAGTCTATTCAATGCAAATAAACAAACAATCAAATTACAGATACATATAAAAATAATATATGTCGGCGGGTAGTCAGAAGGGTCTTTTACGAAGCCCAAATAGATGCTCCATATCGGAGGACTATCTTTAAAATAACACTGCAGGCGTGTATACCAACGTGGATTTGTTCCATTTTATCACTTTTCATACGAAAATATAACGAGATGAGCGTGATGTCGTCGGATTTCTTTACTCCTCGGCGATCGGAAACAGAATATGTGCGAAAACAATAAATAAACTGGACTGAAACATATTTTTAATTTTTCTTAATGATAATATTTTTTATCTAACCTACATCATATAATATAAATATTTTAAAGTTAAATAACATTCTGAATAATTACTTTTGTTAATATTTTCATTGAGCGTCTATGTAATTACAAGTATTTTCCAAAAACTTTGCTTTTATCCCTTACTTTAGTCTTGCTATATTCAGCTCCAATCGAATTAATATTAAAAAAAAACTCAATCATACTGATTATGAATTCCAACGGAGATTAATTATCTACTTAAAAAACATATCAATGTTTTTTTAATCCCTTTGTCAACCCGAATCACAGTAGTTTTGTAATATAAAATAATAGATCGTTGTTGATTATTTCTGTCACCATTCTCTTGTAATTTCTATGGAAATCAATTGTTACGGGTTCTAGTGCGCCTGCCCCCACAAGAATTCTCAGGCACTATAACCGTGCTCAAAGGTCTATTTCATTTTTTTTACTTCTATAGAAATCATCAAATCGTCATGTTTTGATGACTCGAAATATAAGATCGGCATAGAAGGTAAGTAA